CGTAATCTTACACTCTGGACATGGTGCGGAAGCTCGTTTCAACAGTAAAAGAGTGTCTAAATTCATAGATGAATTTAGTTGAATTCTATGTTGATTCATGGATGTATTACGCCAGGCTTTCGGTGTTTTGGGTCCCTCCTGTTCTTTCTGCTGGGTAGGCCCTGAGAAATATTCTCCATGGCCTTGTCTGCGTAGCACATATTTCTTGATCAGCTTAAAAATGTGCATATGTTGCCGAGTTGCAAAGATGACAAACTAGTGAATTGCACTCGGTTTGGAGGCTCAGAGTCACACTGTACACAGAGCTATTGCGATGACTATTTGGGATGCCAAGAAAGATAAATATCAGCTGATGTTTGTGTCTTGTACTTTGGGGCTTCTCATGTGCTCATCATTCTCTACTTACGGTTGTTTATGGGTTCTTTAAAGGGCATAGTGACCCTACAGTTGCACTTCTGTGTCTTCTGTGTCTATTTTCAGAGCGGGGGAAATGCAGCAATCAATTGTTAGCATGTAGCTTCCACATTATTGTATTCCCCATGACTACTAATGGGTGTGATAGGTGGACAGGGAAGGAAGCTGGCAGGAAGGAAATGAGAGCATCTCAAACATGGAGCTGGAGGAGAGCTTTGCAAAAGTCCTGGACTGTCAGAAAGACTATCAAGGGGGTCCTTGATCAGATCAAGCCAAAACTTTCCCTGGAAACAAAAATGACAAAACTCACACTTTGGGCACATCATGGGAAGGCAAGGTTCACTGGAGAAGACAGTAATGAAAGTCAAAGCAGAAGGGGAAGAGGAAGGAGAAGACCAGCTAGGATGGAACTGGCATTCTCAGGTTGACAGATTGGGTCTGCAGCTAACGGGAAAAGAAACTTGGTCAAAAATGGACCAATGATCTCACTCAGGGAGGCAGCTTCCTAGGACTGGGGAATGGACTTCCCCATTAGAAGCTTGTATTTGCAGAAAGAGCTGGGACTGAATCATGAGTTTATGATGCCCAAGATGAAGAATAAAAAGCTTTGCTTTCCATTCCCTTCACAGAAGTCATTAGCCTAGCAGCTGAATCTTAGAGACAGAATTTCCTTTTTGGGGCTGTGGAGGCTGCATTTCATTGGAAACTTACCAAATGAATACTTTCCAAACCGTAACAGTGACCATAACGGATACATTGAAATCTGGGCTTTCACAAAGTTGTCAATGTAATTTGGAGGGTTATTTTAAATAGATACACTTGCAAAAGGTGTACACAGAAATGTGCACATTGAAATCGTGCGTAAACTTGCAGATATTTAGAAAATACACACAAAATGCTATATTCATGAGGAAAAAAGCTTGAAGGATGTGTTCATTTGAAAAAAGCACAGAAAAGGGCATCCATTTTGAAAAATATGCATGACAATGTATACAGATGCATATGGAAGAGGATGTGTGCGATTTGACTTGGCCAGCAGGACTGCATGCAACTTTTCCAGGGTGCGTTGCTCCTGTTCAACACGGGAGTCAGAAGTCACTTCGAGAATTTGCATCTGCTAGCAGCAGACTTTATTTATCATTTTAAGCATTTTTATCCCTTCTATATCTGGATGGATCTCAATTCAGCTTACAGAAGCAAACGCATATCAGCACATTAAAATATAATTGGAACATATAAAAATATACAGTAAAATAATTCCATTATATGCTAAAACCATTCAACAATTGAAATGCCTGGTGGCCAAATGAATAAAGCATCAGTGGCAGGGAGCTGATTTCACAGCTGGGGTGCTACCACAGAAAAGGCCCTTCCACAATGGCCACTCTTCTAACCTCTTTCAGAGAGGGCTCCCGAAGGAAGACCTCCGTGGAAGATCTCAGGATTTGGGCAGTGGCATTATCTGGTCCTGTCTGCCAGTCCCAGTAAGCTCTCTTCTGCACCAGCCAAAGTATCTGGACTGTCTTCAAGGGTAGCCCCACACAGAGTGCATTACAGTAGTCCAGTCAGGGGCTACCAGAGCATGGATTACTGTGACCAGGCTCTGAGTAAGGACACAGTTGATGGATCAGCCGAAGCTGATGGAAAGTGTTCCTTGCTACAGATTCTAGAGATAGCTCTGGTCAAGGAGAACTTCCCAGCTACGCATCCTGCCCCTTAGCTCAGAAAAGAGTGAATATCTCGTGCCGGGACAGCTGGCCCAGCCACCAACAGGCCCTGTGTCTTATCTCGATTAAGCCTCAATGTGTTGGCCCTTGTCCAGCCCATCCCACCATCCAGGCACTGATTCAGGACCATCACTGCCTCACCTGGGCTAGATGGAAAAGAGAGGCAGAGTTGGGTGTCGTCCGCGTACTGGTGACACCCCCGTCCAAACTTCTGGATGACCTCTCCCAGCGGTTTCATCTAGAGGTTGAACAGCATGGTGGATAAAATGGAACCCTGCTGCGCTTCATGGAATACTTGCCCTGGTGCAGAGCCATAATCCCCAGCACCACCTTCTGGAAGAGGCCAGTCCAGTAGGAGTGGCACCACTGGGAAGCAGTGCCTACAACCCCCAACTCTACAAGCCAATCCAGAAGGATCTCATAGTCAATGGTAGTGAGAGCTTCTGAGAGGTCCAGAAGAACCAACAAGGTTGCCCTCTCCCTGTCCTTCACCCAGTAAAGGTCATCCCACACGGTGACCAAGACAGTTTCCATCCCAAAATCAGGCTTGAAAACAAACTGAAATGGACCCACACAGTCAGTTTCCTCCAAGAGTGCTTGGAGTTTCCTGGCTACCACCCGCTTGAGCACCTTGCCCAAGAATGGGATATTCGTCACCGGTCTGTAATTGTGGTGACTTCTGGGTCCAAGTTTACCTTCTTCAAGAGAGGTCTGATGAGTGCCTCCTTCAAAGGGGTGGGGACCAGCCCTTCCCTTAGAGAGGTTTTTAGGATTTCTTGGACCCAGGTATGCATCCCAACCTTGGTTTTGGTGATCAGCCCTGAAGGGCAAAGGTTGAGAATACAAGTGGTGGGTTGAACTTGTCCAAGCACCTTGTCCACATCCTCAGGTCACAATACTTGAAACTTATCCAACAATGATGGACTAGACAGTTTTCCAGACAGCTCTCCTGCAGGAACACTATTAACCAAGGAGTCCAATTCGTGACAAATCTGAGCGACTTTATCCTTAAAGTGCTGTGCAAATTCATCATCGCAGTGAGCTTGCCTCAGCTGAACCAAAGCCGTTCTTCTCCTTCTGAATTTAATTTGAAAGCCTCACTCTTGGGACCCTACACAAATAAAAGGTCTGTGTGAAATGCCTTCCCTTCTCCATCTCCAGAGGTGATGCTTTGATGGAAAGCTAACCTAGTTTTTTATCCTAGTAGCTGCTGTGTTCACATACAAGCAGGCAAAACAAAATGCATCAGCAAGAAGAGAACATTAGGTGGCTGAGATATGCACAGGCTAATTTAAATGCATAGACACACTTTTAGAAATAATGGCTCTATTTTAAATAGCAACCAGATTGCAGTGGGGAAGTTCATGGCCCGGTGAACTGGACTTGTTCTAGACCAAGTCTGAAAAAGAGGTCATCCTCACATACAGTTGCTCCATGTGTGTTGACGAACTTGATAAGCTTGAAAGCTGGGCTGACAGCAACAAAACGAGGGACAAATGCCAAGTCCTCCTCCTAGGAAAAAGAAACCAAATGCATTGATACAAGATGGGGAATATGTGGCTCAACAGGACTGAAAAAGAAAAAGACCTTGGAGTTATTGTGAACAGCTGGCTAAATATGAGCCAACAATTCAATCCAAAAAGGGCAAATGCTATTTCGGGATGCCATAATAGAAGTATTACATCCAATTTATGAGTAATTCCTCTATACTCCTCACTGGTCAAACCTCACCTGCAATTCTGTGTCCAGGTCTGGGCACCAAGTTTTAAGAAAGATACAGGTAAATTAGAAAGGGTGCAGAGGAGGGCAACAAGAATGATCCAGGGTTTAGAAACACTGCCCTGGGAGGAGAGACTGAGAGAACTGGGCATGTTCAGCCTTGAGAAGAGAAGACTGAGGGGGGACGTGGTATCCCTCTATAAGTACCTCAAAGGCTATCACAAAGAGGAAGGTCAAGATCTCTTCTTGCTGATGCCAGAGTGTAGGGTGTGGAATAATCAATTCAAGTTGCGGCAAGCCAGATTCAGGCTGGACATCAGGAAGAGCTTCCTCACTGTCAGAGCAATAGGACAGTGGAACCAGTTGCCTAGAGAGGTGGTGGCTCTCCCACACTGGAGACATTCAAAAAGAGGCTGGACAGCCATCTGAGAGGGATGGTGTGACCTGGTGTCCTGCTAGAGCAAGGCGTTGGACTCAATGGCCTTCATGGCTCTGTTCTATGATTCTGTCAGCTGCTGTTCCCACCATGATTTGCCCTTGGCCAAGCTAGCTGGGGCGGATGAGGGCTGAAGTCCAAAAACACCGGACACACCACAGTCTCCCCAGGCCTGAAACAGGGGGCAGTCAGTGCCCGCCTGTGGTTTGAGGCACAAGTTGCTTGCTTGTGTGGACATGCCTATGCCCCACACATCTGTGTTGAGTAAGACCCACCTAGCAAGCCCTGTGTGTAATGGGCTTCCCAGTGGGGCCGTGTTAGGGGCTGTGCGGCTGGTGGTCCTTCCCTGGGATGTCGCTGAGTAATTCTCTGGACTCTGGAAGGCTTGATTTCCAGGGCCAGCCATGATGAGATGTCTGGGAGGAGTACCACCGTCCCAGCATCTCCCAGGGGAGAAGAGGCATGGCGGCAGGGCTAGCATCTTGCAGCCTAGGCATGTGGTCCCGAAAGCAGGAGAGCTGAAGGCTATGGCGTTCAGATCTCTAAGAAACTTGGCAGCCCCAAGTGGTCAGGTAGGGCAGCCTCCAGCTGGATCCTCCTGCCTCCTTGTTCAGCTTTGTGGGACGCCAAAGGGAGGCCCAGGTCTCACTTCTGCAAAGCAACGGTCCTTTATTCCCTCCCTCCCCTCTCTGCTTTCCTTCCAGCTGCCAAGAACGCACCCACAAATTTCTTTGTCGACTCCGAAACCCCCAGCAGCCTTCAGGTCCGCTGGAATCCACCCGAGGGAGCCGTCCAGCACTACAGACTCACCTACGCGCCAGAAAGTGGCAACAAGCACCAAGAAATGGTACGATTTGGTGGGAGGGTCGGGACAGATCAAAGAAAGAGCTTGCTGCTACAAGCTGGCCACCCACTTGGATAGCTCGGCTCGGGGACTGGAGGAATCCACAGAGGAGAAGGCTCTCAGGGTCCTCTGATGCTGAGGCCTGCATGCCCCTGCAGCATCCACGGCAAAGAGCCTATGTGCCCCAGTTGCTGGGGAACATGGGCAGGAGAATGCTATTGCACTCACATCAGTGGGTTTCCCAGAGGCAGCCGGTTGCTGCTGTGGGAACACAATGTGGGCTTGATAGGCCTTTGGTTTGATCCAGCATGGATTTTCTTACTATTTCTGCAGGAATAAAACTTCAGCGGACTTGGCATGGCTTCCTTGGCCCTTCATGGCCATGGGCAAGGTGCCTTTTCTACACAGAATGTTTGATTTTTTAAAAATTAAAATTTTATCTCTCTCAATCCCACCAGACACAGGGAAGCTTATGCTAATAAAGCTCACGAACAGTTCAGCACTTAATCAAACTAAAATAAAACAAATTCATACACATTACTTGAGAGCCAGAAATCTAACATGAACGAAACTACTGAAGGCTGGAGTTAAGGAAACATTTTACAATACTTTCTAAAAGCTGTGAACACAAAGGGACTTTCCTTCTTATATGCTCAATTGCAAACCAGTGCATAATTTTTTAAATTTCTCCTCTTTGTCCAAGAAGCACAAGTCATTTCTCCACACAACAACCCTATAAGGTAGGCTAAGTGAGGAGAGGAGTGGCTGAAGTAAACTTCATGGCTTAGGGAAGTTTGGGTTTCCGCTGCTCTGTTCCTGGATTGAGGTTCTGCCCTCCATGCTGGCTCACGCCGAATGGAGAATTAAGCCTCAGCCGAGGAGACCTGGATTCAAATTCCGGCCAAGCTGTGAGCCGCATTGCCTGACTCTGGGCCACACCTTCCCTCACACCTTGAACTAAGTCACTGGGTCATTACGTAGCCCAGTGTCCCCGGCACATGGAGCAGCAGAGAAATATAAAGGCTAAAGAGCGGGTTTCTTTGCAGTAATACAAATAAACCTGTTTGTTAGTCTTTAGAGCTGCTAGCGATAATTGGGGAACTAATATTTGATGGGTGGATCATCTCTGTGTGTGAGTGTTTATGGGAGAGCATCTCTTGGCACCATTTTGCATCCTTCAGAGAAGCCTTAAAAGCAGGTATCTTGCTACATCCTAAAAGTTTTATCTTCCTTTTGCAGATCACTGTTTCTGGCAGAAGCAGATCCGTCATCCTTCACGCGCTCCTACCAAATAGGTTATACACTGTGACGATTTCTGCAGTCTATGTTACGGGAGAAAGTGACCCCATATCTGCTACTGGACGTACAGGTAAACCACCAATGAACTGCTTGCCTTTTGTAGCTCCTTCTTATCTATGGTGATCTCTCCCTTTTTTGAAGATCTTGTCCATTCTCAGACCGTGAGCGACACAAAATGTCAACAGTTAAACACCAAGGCAGTTCGGACCAAAGTGACTCTTTGTGTGAAGCTGGGAACAAACTAGACATTGTGAGAGATAGTATGGGCCAGTGGTCAGAGGATCAGACTGGGATTCAGGTGACCTCAGTTGTTGTTGTTGTTGTTGTTGTTGTTGTTATTATTATTATTAAAACATTTTTATGCCGCCCCATTCGCCGAAGCCTCGGGGCGGCTTACAAACAATAAATAAAAGCAATTATAAAATAAATCACAACACATATAAACATTAAAAATCCAAAAAATACAATATAAAATAAGCCGCCCTGGCCAGATAAGATCAAATAATATTAACAGTTAAAATGCCGCTTAAATAAAAAGGTCTTCGCCTGGCGCCGAAAAGCAAATAACAACGGCGCCAGGCGGACCTCTCTAGGGAGCGCATTCCATAACTTAGGCGCCACCGCTGAGAAAGCCCTCCTCCGAGTAGCCACCCTCCTAATTTCTCTCACGGGGGGCTCCCGGAGAAGGGCCTCTCCCGCAGATCTCAAGGGGCAGGTGGGCAGATATGGACGTAAGTGCTCCTTCAGGTAGCCAGGACCCAAGCCGTTTAGGGCTTTATAGGTCATCACCAACACCTTGAATTGGGCCCGGACTTCAATGGGAAGCCAGTGAAGCTGTCAGAGAACTGGAGTCATGTGACCATAATGTCCAGTCCCCGTCAGCAGCCTGGCAGCTCTGTTTTGAACCAACTGAAGTATCCAGACCGTCTTCAAGGGTAGCCCCACGTAGAGCGCGTTACAGAAGTCAAGGCAGGAAGTCACCAGTGCATGTGTCACTGTTGCCAGGCAGTCGTACTCCAGGTAGGGGCGCAGCTGATGAATCAGCCGAAGCTGGAGGAAAGCGCTCCTCGCCGCTGCTGTTACCTGAACTTCCAGTGAAAGCTCCGGGTCGAGGAGCACTCCCAGGCTGCGGACCTTGTCCCGAGGAGGAAGTGCAACCCCGTTCAGGACAAGGTTCAATTCACCTTCTCCGAAGCCCGATCCGCCAACCAACAGGACCTCCGTCTTGTCTGGATTGAGCTTCAGTTTATTGGCCCTCATCCAGGTTCTAATCCCTGCTCAGCCACGGAGCTCATTGGGTCACTGCTGGCCATTCACGGGCTCTCAGCTTAACTAAGTTGACAAGTTTATTGTACTGCAAATAAAATAGAGACAAATAAGTTACCTTTGTTGATATATTTATTATATTTATATCCTAACTTCTTTTCTTTCAAGGAACTCAGCTGATACAATGCCCTTCTTCCTCTCAGTCTTATCCTCACTACAATCCTGTGAGAATGTAATGATATGTACAATAAACAAATCGTCTAAAAGCGCCGCTCACGGTGCTTAATGAATTCATCCTTTGCAAAACCCCTTTATGAAACAACCTGATCCACACACAGGACTGGGTGGCAGCCCCTGCCAGATTTTGCACTTTTCCAAATGCTGCAGCACAGTTCTCAACACTCTTAAAATGTAGGGAAAATATGCATTTAAATATAGCTTTTATAAAATACAGATGAATGCAAAAATGGGACAGAATGGAATTATAGATTAAAAAAGGATGCGAGGACAAGAGATACCAGTTACGGACAATTTCACCCATCATTCCTTGCAGCAGAGCAGGCCTGGTGAAGAGTAAAGACCACTTTTGTCCTCTGTAATAATTCAACTAAAACAGTTGTTGCAAAGAGATGTCAAAATTAAATGTGGGGCATATGGCGAAACCACCACCTTGGTTTTAGCACAGACTGGCGGAAGGAAGTCTTCATATATGTTCTTAGTTCTGGACTCTCACAGTTCCTGGGTCAACAGGCCAAGGGATGGAGGATTCTTCTGGATTCCCTCCTGGGGTAGGGAGAGAAGGGTTGTCCTCGGGACTCCAGCTGCAGAAGACCCCTAAACGAGGCTGCAGAAATGTCCAGAGCTGGGCTTCTTGGCACTGCCTCTAGCACCCAAGAGGACAAAAGCGGCATGCTGTGATTCTCAGGGTCCCCAAGCCCCAAAGTCCTCCCATACTCTGGAAAACAGGGAGGAACTGCCCAGGAAAAGGAGTGCATCTTGCAATAAAAAAGAAGCTCCCCAGTCAGGAAACAGGGGATCCCCTCTCATGCACACATCCTATCATCCCCTTCCACCCTGCCCTGGATCTCCCACCTCATAGGATTGTCAGGTAAGGGCATCTTCAGCCTTCCTGCCTGGTTTTCCTTCTGGGTATGGGATTAAAATGGATGTTAGGTGCAAGCCTAAACTCTTATAAAGGTAAAGGTAAAGGTTTCCCCTTGACGTGAAGTCCAGCCATGCCTGACTCTAGGGGGCGGTGCTCATCTCCGTTTCCTGGCCAAGGAAGCCAGCGTTTGTCCGCAGACAGTCTCCGTGGTCATGTGGCCGGCATGGCTAAACACCAAAGTGCACAGAACACTGTTACCTGCCCACTGAAGTGGTACCTTTTTATCTCCTTGCATTTGCACGCTTTCGAACTGCAAGGTTGGCAGGAGCTGGGACGGAGCAACAGGAACTCACCCCATTGTGCAGTTTCGAACCGGCGACCTTTCGATCAACCAGCCCAGCAGCACAGCGGTTTAAACCACAGTGCCACCCGCACCCCCAAACTCTCATACTGGAGAGTAAACTCCACTGGGCACAGGGGGAGCTCCTTCTGAGCAAACACTCTTAGAATCGCTTTATAGGCTTGATTCCATTTCCTACAGGACCAGGCAGCTTTGGAGGGTTGTGAGGGCACACTGGCCTTCCCAGAGCCCATCGTGGGTCAGCCCTCTTCTCAGCCACCCCTGCCAGACGTAGCAGTGCAGTTGTATTCCCAGAAATCTGTGCTCCCCGTGTGCCCTGCTTCCCCGGAGACTCAGCACTTCTGCGAATTAACTGTGCATGAAAGGCTTGCTTGCCTTGTTCCTTTGCAAAGCTCTTGTCAGACTATTGAGAGCACATTTCTGCTGGGAAATTCAGTGTACACACAAAGCCCTCCATCAATGAAACATGGTGGTCGTAAGGAACCAAGTGCAGGGTGTGAATCCTCCTCCTTTGATCAGTCTCTGAGGACCTATAGATGTGCCATTTTTATGTATCATCTACATTCACCCCCCTTTTTTCTCTTTTGGTAGCTTCTGTCTTGGCCAGACTGCCTGTGACAAGAGAATTGGTCCCCTTCAAGAGTGAGGGTAAGATCCTGTGCTGATTTTTCTCCCTCTGCTTCATGGTGGCCTCATTGCTTGGGCACTCACATACATCCAAGACCTTTCTCAGGAAATGGAAACTCGTCTTCTCAAATCCAGGAGTGATGGTATGATTGCTAGATTTTTGTAGAAAGTTTCTCGCTCAATGCAGACTGTTCAGATAGGTTTACATGATTCTGAGGAGGAAAAGGAAGAGGAGGGAAGTGGGATGGAAGATTTTGAGGTTTCAGCGTTACCTAGTGAAGGCTCTCAGGCAGAGTGTGAGAATAGGCCTGCTTTGGAAGGGGTGGAAGTGTTCTCAGGACCAGAGGGTCCATACGTGAGACCCAGTTCCTGACCCAGCAAGGAGTTAGAAGGTCTAACTTGGCCCAGTTAGATGATCTCCAGCATTCCCACCATCTTGACCTCAAGCAACAAGAGCCAACCTGAGGGTGAAGCCAGAAGCTTTACTGAAAGGGAGGGACAGAAGGGAAGTATCCAGTTTGGATTCAACTCTTCACATGGACTGATGCTTCTCCTGCAACTTTGTAGAAGGCTATTTAGAGTTCATACTGTTGAGTTTCAATAAAAGAACAGCTTTTCTAATGACTTTCTTGAGCTTGAACCTGGAAGGAAGGAAGGAAGGAAGGAAGGAAGGAAGGAAGGAAGGAAGGAAGGAAGGGACCAGCTTGTGACAATTTCACTCAGGTATTACTGCCTTTCTTTCTTAGCATCATCACAATTTAACAGAAGCTTTTGAGACGCAATGGTTTCTTTCACCCAGTCTCCAAGTCATGCAAATTCACAAAGTGTGGAGTTATTTGTGGCAAATGTCATGTTTTACAGTGAGCAGATCTATATATTTCAACGCCGTTGGCAGAAGAGAAAGCCATGCATGTATTTCAAACCCTTTCAATTAAATCCTTCTCCACCCCCTTGCAAATTGTGTTATTAATGTGAGTGAGTTTGTCACGGGTGGCTCCTCAAATGACTGGCTATAAAACACATTATGGAGAGAATCTGTAGCAAATGTTGAGCAATCTGGGCTGTAAAAAACCTGTCAAGGATTAAATTGTAAAATACAAATGTTGTGGAAAGGGGGGTGGGTTGTGACTCTCTCAGAGATGGCATCAGCTTCAGATGGGTGTTTACAAAGAAGTGCAGAAAAGAAAGGAAACAAGATTTAGTAGCAATTAACGGAACAAAGCGAGCCAAGCGAGGTCATCAAGATTTCTGCCGTTCCTTGGAAGCGGCTTGCTCAGAAGCTGGGGCAGCAGGGAGGTGCCTGTGCAAGACCTGGGCGCAACATACTAATCAGCATTGCAGCTCTTGGCACACCTGCAGGGCATATGCCACAAATATGTTTACCCTGCAATATTCCATTTTTCCAGACCCCTCCTATAACCAACCTCCCAGTGATCTCATTTATTTCCACTCCGAGTTACGTGGGTTCCAATCTACTTGTGTCATAATTCTTTCTGGTGGTAGTAGCTTCATAGCAATGGAACCTATTTTGCCACTTTCCTCCAGTCTTCACCTTTGACTTTGGATGGTGGGGGAATATATGCCTGCCTGTCCGCCCCCTGAGATCTGTGGGAGAGGCCCTTCTCCGGGAACCCTCCGTGAAGGAAATTAGAAGGGCAGGTACTTGGAGGAGGGCTTTCTCTGCGGTGGCGCCTAATCTATGGAATGTGCTCCCCAGAGAGGTCCGCCTGGCGCCATCGTTATTTGTTTTTCAGCGCCAGGCGAAGACCTTTTTATTTAAGCATCATTTTAATTGTTAATATTATTGATTATTTTATCTGGCCAGGGTGACTTATTTTATATTGTTATTTCTTGTATTTTAACCTAATGTTGTGAGCCGCCCCGAGGCTTCGGCGAATGGGGCGGCATAGAAATGTTTTAATAAATAAATAAATAAATAAATAAATAAATAAATAAACTTATAAGAAGGAAAGCTGTGGCTTTCCTTCATTTTCTCTCCTTATATTGAAGGCCGTATTTTTCAGTCTGAGTTCGTGGGTGCAGCTGGGCAGCTGCGAATAACCACACATCTTGTATTTTAACATCTGCACGGCTGTGAGGTGTGTACACATTTTGCAAGCTTTCAATAAAAGTGGCCATGGACCTGTTGCAGTCCCAGTAGCTTACTGAGCCTTGTGATATAAATGCAAACAGGGCCTGTGGACCATCTTTTATTTCCTCCACAATTACAACACGAGGCATTTGTCTCTGGTTCGTGAGCATCTGTACACCTTGTCGATTCTGAGATTCTGTGCTGCGTTTGTCAGCGTGCGACCACAGAGTTACAACGGAATGTGTGCGTGTGCGTGGGGTATGGAATACCAGAGCAGTGGTGATTCAGAAACAAAAAGGGTCCCAGTGTCAAGGTCACCCTCATTCTGGGTGCAAGTTCTCCTTGCTGGCGCTGTGCAGTGGTTACGGGACTCAGCCATGGGACAGGGGATAAGGGTACGTCAGCAATCCAAGCAGGGGCATCTGAGGGGCCTTGGCGAATTTCCTCTGAGCAGAGCAAAACAGTCCCAGCCAGTTACAGGCAAGCCCACCTCCTAAAGTTATTATTATTATTATTACATTTTTATACTGCCCATAGCCAAAGCTGTCTAGGCAGTTGACAGCAATAATCATAGAATCATACAATCAGACCACCCATCCCACTTCTGCCCAGGCCGGACCCTGCTTAGCTTCCAAAATTAGGCAGGATCAGGCACTTCAGGCTACATGGAAGCTTTCAGCTTTCAGCTGAAAAGTTGAAAAAAAAGCAGCTCTCCTTTTTTCCACCACTGGTTACTTTAACTTATCTTGGAGAACATGGATGAGATACTAAGCAGAGGGGGATTCCGCAGACGATGAGAACACTTGATCTTGAACAAGATATTGGACTGTGCAGAAATGGATAGACTGACTTTATCTCCTTAGGAAAAAGATGTGGTTTACTACCAAACATGGGACTTTTTCTATCAATGGCTACAGAATCGGAACTCTGATTTGGGCTGAAATACATAGCATTTGTAGAGAGAAATCAGACTTTGTACACAGTATGTTTGAAGTCTTTGGAATAATTATTTGTTTAGTGATTATTATTATTATTATTATTATTATTATTATTATTATAACATTTCTATGCCGCCCCTTGCCGAAGCCTCGGGGTGGCTTACAACACAATAAAATACATTGAAATACAATAGAACATAATAAATTACCACTAAACACAAAAAATACACTGAGATACAAACATAATAATATAAAATTAAAATTAACAGTATAAAATAAGTAAATAAAGAATATAGGAGGAGAAAAGAGAAGGAAGAAGAAGTTGCCCTGGCCAGATCATATATTTTAACAATTAAAATGATGTTTAAATAAAAAGGTCTTTACCTGGCGCCGAAAAACCAGTAACGACGGTACCAGGCGGACCTCTTTGGGGAGCGAATTCCATAGGTTGGGCGCCACCGCAGAGAAAGCCCTCCTCTGAGTACTTACTCTCCTAATTTCTTTCATGGAGGGTTCCCGGAGAAGGGACTCTCCCGCAGATCTCAAAGGGCGGTCGGGCATATACGGACGTAAGCGCTCGTTCAGGTAGCCAGGACCCAAGCTGTTTAGGGCTTTAGATTAGAAAACAATACAATTCTGAAACCAAAAGAAAACTTCCCAGGTTCTCTTTCCCAGCTTCCTGGCAACACACAACCAACTGACAATGTGCTAGTGCTGGTGGGGGATTTTCTCACCAGTGATCGGGGGGATTGAGCTAGAACCCACCCAAAATGGCTCAGTGAGTATAAGTTACAGTCAGTGGAACCTTGGGAGGTGGTGCCCCCCCCCCCCGAGATAGAGACATTCAAGATGCAGCTTGACAGAGGGATGGTTTAATTAGGAGCGGTGCACTGAGCAGAGCTGGACCCAATGGCCTCTGGCCCCTTCCAACTCTGCTATTCTGTGATTCTGTGAAGGGCGCAAAGCAGGTAGTCCATAGGAAGCCCATGGTGTGACTCTCCCCAAAGACATGCTTGCTAAATGCCCTAGACAAGCCATGCTTTCTCAGGCCTCCACCTGCAAGGCGGGGAGAAAAATACTGCTGGCAAAGACAGGGGCAAGACAGACTCAGTGAGGGAGGGGAGCATCGTGTGCTTCTTGTCCAAGCCTCCCCCCACTCAAAAAATCTGAAGGAGGCACTTTTTTCGTACATGCAGTCAGGATCTTGGGTCCTCAGGCCCCTTGCTACTCTGCAAAGCTCCGGATATATTCCAAAAGCCTTTCTCCTCCCGCTCTGCACTGCCACCCGTAAGCAGACACTCAGAAAACATTTACAGGACAGCAACAGGACAGCCTTTCCTGTGCCCTTGCTTTTCAGGGTCCACCATCACAGGCTCCCTCGTTCCATCAGCTTTCAACTCTCCCCCTCCACTTAGACTGATTCAGAAGCAAAGAACTGCAGTGCTTTGGTTCTTGAAGGAGTCTTGTTTGGATTCAACCCATTTAAATGGAGAGCACTTGATAAATCTTCACCAAGGAGTCTTTGACGCTTCCCTTCTTATCGCTGATTTGTATGAGTGGCAGTTCCCGATGTTTGATCCTCCAGCTCAAAGGATGAGAAAGGATCTAGCAGGGGAATTCCTGTAAAAGGTGAACTGCAGTTGTATTTTGTGCAAAACAACTCACTTTCCCTTCCATAATGGACTGGAGAGAACTGGCATGAAAAATATATAATGCAGCTATAATTAACCAAAGGGACTGGCACAATCATCCATGCGTCTTTGTTATGGCTGCATCTGGATTTACCTCGCGTTTCAATTTTACAGCATGCAGTCTGAAAAATAGGGAGGGTAGTATTAAAGAGATATATAGGGGATCAAAATAGTCAAGCACCAATTCATGTGCAGAACGTTGAAACTGATTATCACACTTACTGTGATTTCAAGAACTTTTCACAAAAATCAGAAGTTTCCTGCGAAGGAGGGAAGGAGGAAAGAAGAAGCATGCTTGGTAGAGAAAGCAGTAGGAGGAGGATAACAGGAACTAAAATCTGCAGCCTTCTTGGAGGCAGCTGAAAGTCAAGGCAGTTTTGCATTCAGCCTGATCCTAGCTTTGTGAAACTGATACATGAGTTCGGAAACTTATGCATGAGTTTGCCTCATTCACACATGACATTAGACAAAATGTGAGGCATGCTCCCAAAACAATATAAGAGAGCCAGTGTGGTGTAGTGGTTAAGAGCATGGGACTGGGACTCAGACGATCTGGGTTCGAGTCCCCGCTCAGCCACGGAGCCAACTGGGTGACTTTGGGCCAGTCACAGACTCTCAGCCCAACCTACCTCACAGGGTTGTTGTTGTGGGGATAAGATGGAGGAGGAGAATGATGTAAGCTGCCTTGAGCCCTTTGTAGGAAAAAGGCAGGATAGAAATCGGAAAAAAAAATATATATATATATAAGGTGTATATATATTGGCTCTCGCAGCAAGAGCGCTGGGTTTTGATGCGGGACTTCTGGATGACAGGGCAACGCTGCCCTCTTTTGCAAATGGCCGCCCTACTGGAGAAGGTTGTCCCATTTCCTGCATTCGCCCTTGGCCCTGCAAATCCTCAGAATGCCATCGTTCAGATAAATTGTATTGTGAAAGAGAAATGTGCCCTCAGGCACATATTGTGCTTATGTAGCATTTCAGTGGAAAAGTACAATGAGCCAGAACCATTTTAAAGCTTAACACAAAGATGTTTGACACCCTTCAGCTTTTGTCTTTGACAAAAAACTCCCAGGGGCTGCTTCACCAATTATGCCTTTAAGTGCACACCTAAGTTTTGTTTTAAGTTAAAACTGGGAATGGGTTTACAAGCATGGAAGTCTTATAGGCGCATGGATCGCCAGTGAAGGCATGCTCTGACTCAGAGGGTCCAGAGGGGGGGGCCAAGACTCAGCATGTTCATTGTGTCTTGGTCGCCTCACCCTCTGACCTTCAGCATTGAGTGTAATGATTTGCTTATTCCAAGCAACAGGCTTCAGCCTCCAAACCTGCAAACAAGAAAAGCTGACCTCAGTTTTACAGTAGCGAAGGAAACAAGCTGTGAGAACACTCTGTAGAATCAGTTCATTATTTCATTGAAAGTTGAGTTCAGACTAATTGCAATTAACTAACTTATTATTTATTTGTTTGTTTATTCAATTTATATGCCACCCCGCTAGGCATAGGCTCTCTAGGTGGCTTACAACATATTAAAATCCAACAACACAAAACAATACAAATGCAATATAACATTTGCTACAAAAACCAATAATAATAACAATAAAATCAGTAAATAAATTAACAGAATTAAAACCAAAATAGGAAAAGAATAGAATTAATAAATAGTAGATATTATATGTATATATAAAACCCAAAAATAAAGCATAAACCATTAAAATAAAAAATAAACACCTCTCCTTTAAAACCATTCCCTGTTGGCAGGAGCATAAAAGCAACTGAATTAATACCTAAAAATCCACCTGTTAAACTAACTGCTAAACAGATAAGTCTTTAGTTGGTGCCTAAAAGCCAAAAGAGTTGGTGTCACAGTTGGACCTCGAGCAGGCTTGAATTCCAAAGTTGGGGTGCTATGCAGGAGAAGCCCCTCCTTGTTGCAAAATCCCCCCTCACCCTGTCAGGGGAGGACCACAGAGGGGGGTTCAGATGACGCCTGCAAGGCGCTCCCTCAGATAACCTGCCCCAAACCGTTTAGGGTTTTGCATGACCTCCTGAGCGCTTTGAACTGGGCCTGGACAGCAACCAGCAGTCAGAGTAACCCTTCTGGGACTGCTGGGTCACGTCTTGGATGCCAGTCCTGGTCAGTAAGGTCCGGACTGTTTTCAAAGGCGGCTGCTTGAAAAGTGCATTAGAGCAATCCAAGCGGGAGCTTACCAGCTAATGCCCCCCTCCCCAAAACTGCAATTCCCCAAGCTGAACCCTTTACACAGTTCTAGAATTCACAGAGTCAATTAATTAGAACATCTCGCAGTTTGTCATTGGTCTCCCCTCCTTAGCTGAGGCCTCACTCTTAGATCTGTCATCTTAGACCCCTTAGATTAATCATTTTAGTCTCTTCAGAAAGGATCTAGTTTCCCACTGGTTTAGCAATAGCAGCTCTTTCTCCTCCTCCCTTTCTTACCTCTATTTATTCTGTCCTTCACTGAATTAACCTATTCCCATAAACTTTGGGGGCTCTTCTGCAGAACTAGTGACTAGTTGCTCCCAGCTGCAACTCCTGACATCTCCTGTTAAAGCTCCCAGACCACAGGCGGGGGCTGCATCGGGGTGCAGAGCCCTTTTCAGCCTGAGCACTGGATTCTGTTTGGGAGAAACATTTGGAAGGGGGGGGCAGATTCCAAACACGGGCAGGGACAAAAATCCCTGCATATTTTAGCTTAGAGCTGTTGGTGCCTGCCCCACAGCCAGGAATTCTGGAAGTTGTAGTCCAAAACATCTGGTTGGAGAAGGAATGGGATTGGGGGGACTGCACAGACGTTGGGGAATCAACAAAGAAATGGTGGTTGGGGAAAAGAGGGGAAGGAGGGGAATAGGGCAGGGCCCTTTGAGGAATCCAGGAGGCCCCAGTTCGGCTCTCTGGCCAGATGTTTTACACTGCTGAGCTACGTGAGCCGACCCCTGGATGCACTGCCATGAGGTAGATTCATAATAATCAGTGCAGAACCTGGGGGAAAATGTTGGGAGGAGAAAACATCTCAAAATTTTGGAGGTGGGGGTGAGAAACTGTGGCATTGCCTTTTTCCCAAGTAAGATGGAATCTTTAAGATTCTTGGTTGCTCTCATTTGCACCGGACTTCAGATATGCATATGCTTGTTCTCATACTGCTTTCCCATTGTCTCTCTGATGTCCTTCTGCAGATTGTCCTGTGCTTGACTCCATGGAAGGCTCCCTGCAAGGTAGGCTTTTCAGGCTTCTTTTTGATGGTGAAAAGCAGAACCCTTCCTCTTTTAGGTCCCTCCAGGATTAGGGGGTGTCTGAAAGCTAGACTGGTTGGCCTTCTTATAATGGAGACTAAAGTCCTGCATCTCCAGGCCACGTCACCTGCCTGGCTGCAGGATAAATTTAAGCAGATAGAGGAGGAGGAGGAAGTAGAGCAACAGCCAGGGTTCAATTCTGCTGCAGGAGGCTTGCACTAGGATTCTAGCAGGCAACTGCTGTTCCTAGAATATGATAAGCATGTAAGGATCCAAGGAACCTGGAGGAGAAGGCAGAGGTTTGCCTAAGAGGTTTGCAAGCGCACACACAGAAGAAAGAACCTGCAGAAAGGACTACTCTTATAACGAAGGGTAGTGGATAATGGATGGTGGGGACAATTGAGGGCAAAAGAAGAAGGGGACGGCAGAGGATGAGGTGGCTGGATGGAGTCACTGAGGCTGTGGGTGTGAGCTTGTGTGTCTTCCAAGGGATGGTGGAGGACAGGAGAGCCTGGAGGAATGTTGTCCATGGAGTCATGATGGGTCGGGCGTGAATGTGTGACTAACAACAAAGCGGATAAAGAGACTAGCCCTGACTGCACCATCTTTGCTGTGCTTTTGGAGCTGAACTTTGCTGTGGAGGAAGGAGCTGAGCTGAGAGGGGAGGGAAGCCACGGAGATACTGAGTGAGACAGGATGGAAGTTCAGAGTGAAGAAGATTCTTTGCCACATTCAAGAACTGTTGGAGGGTTTTTCTAAGTACATGCAGGATCTAGTTATTACAATTATGAGCTTTAAGAATTCGCATTCCATTTTTAATTTAGTATTGGATCGCACCGAGGCCCCCTCTAATTAAAAATGCTTCTCAGTTCCTGCTGCTTGGAGGGATGCTCCCTTCACATCGACTCAACCTGCACATTTGGAAATGAAACACAAGAAATTACACAAACTGAGAGCAGGCACACACTTCTGTGTTACTTAGGGGCAATGGTTCTCTCTGGGACTCAGAATCAGTGAACAGGCCAATGGGCGAAGGTCAACGGTTTTATTAAGCAGGGGCAAATGTCATGTAGAGCAAGAAAGTTGAACGCTACCAAGCAATCATCAGAGCAAGGGACTACAGAGTGGCATCATGAACCTTATATTCCTGCAGTTGTTAGCACAGAAACCTCTCAGAATGGAAATGGATGGACTTCAGTCATGGCCTGCCATCCAGCGCCTTTCCTGGGTCAGCTTGCATTGACAGTCCCTCCTGGGAGTGTCTCACGGACTCATGAGAACATAAGAGAAGACTTACTGGATCAGAATTAAGGTCCATCCAGTCCAGCACTCTGCACACACAGTGGCAAACCAGCTGCCCACGGGATCCCTCCAGCAGGATGGGTGCAAGACCTCCTCCTGCCCAGCATCTGGTATATGCAGGTGGGCCACCTCTGCTAAGGAGGTAACACATAGCCAGCAAGGCTAGTAGCCATGGCCTCCTCCTGCTTGCCCTTATGGCTCCTGCTCATTCCATTCCATTTCATTTCAGGTTTATATTGCCCAACAGCTGAAGTTCTCTGGGGAGTTTAAGAGATGCAAACTAAGCAGAACACAGCTATACTTCATGCAGTCCCAGCTACGTTCTGCCCTGTGATTTCCCCATTCTTGAAATGTGAAGGTTCCCCTTTGCTCAGCTCTGGTTAGGCCTCACCCAGAGTCCTGTGTCCAGTTCTGGGCACCACAGTTTAAGAAAGATGCAGACAAGCGGGGAAGAATTCAGAGGAGGGCAACAAGGATGATCCAGGGATTGGAAGAAAAGCCTCTGAGGAGAGGTTGAAAGAACTGGGTGTGTTTAGCCTGAGAAGTGAAGGCTGAGGGGACTTGGAAGGCTGCCACAAAGAGGAAGGATGAGATCTCTCCTCAATCATCCCAGGGTGGAGAACATGAAAAACAGGCTCACGTTACAGGAGCCCAGATTTCGGTTGAACATCAGGAAGGGCTTCCTGCCTGTTAGAGCCAAATGACAATGGGACCCCTGACCCAGGGAGGTGGTGGGCTCTCCCACCCTGGAGGCATTCGAGATGCACCTGGACAGCCACCTGAGAGGGATGGTTTAGCTTGGAGTCCTGCACTGAGCTGGGGGTTGGACCTGATGGCCTTCTGGCCCCTTCCAGCTCCTCAGTTCTGTGAGCCTATGAAGGGGTTATCTCCAGCGGGCAGCAGCCAGTCAGCCATAGACAGCTGGAAGAACATCCCAGACACACCTCCTGTGCTCTGTGGTAGACCTTGACGCCCAGCCAAGGACTTTCTAAAGATAAGGAGCAGCTTCTCAGGTTATAGCATCTCCCACAGGCTGCTTGCTCTGAGAAACGATCAAAAAGGAAGAAGCACAGACGGCAACTTAAAGCACCTACTCCAAGTGGAAATCCAGACATGGAGAGGAGACTTTTTCATTCACCAGGAACTGCTCAGCCTTGCAATGGTCTTCTGCATTTTCACCACGCTCCAAAGAAACCGGCTCTGCTCGCAGATGCCGGGAACACCCAGCAAGATCTGAGGCAGCCCCCTCTAGCCTAGGGGCCTCCAGATGTGTCGCATGGCAGCTCCCAGCACCCCCAAGAGAGCATGGTGAGGTCTGTGTCTGCCATGGAGCCATGTGACCGAGGGTCTGGACCCAAGCCAGCATCCCTTCAAGATACCACTGGCTATTTGGTCCCTACTGGTTGGCTGCAGCCCCTTCCGGCCATCTGCAGGGATGGAGCTGATGCAGTGGCACATGGAGGGAAGCCACCGTCCCTGGGCTGACCCGGATACTTTGCAGGGGCCCACCATTACCAGTTAGTCATACATACTTTTTTAAAATAAAGGGCCATCCTTTTTCCTTCTGTGTACCTGGTATATGCCCTCTTTGAACATCCCCAGTGGTGGGAAGGAGTGTTGGAAGCAAAGCAGGAGAGGAAAACCTGCTGAAGCCACCCTCTTAAATTATTTACCTGCTAGCAAGTTAATGCAAGGTCAACGTGAATGGATTTTCCATGGCCCTGTGGCAGCTGAAAGGCTGGCATTGCAACACTGACAGATAAAGGGCCCCTTCCTATAACACAATGGATTGGGGTATTGGGTGGCATTCAGAAGCCCCCTGTAACTGAATGACTATAGAGATATTTGGTCTACCTTTCTGGGTTTTTGCCACACTTTCGTTAAAGTCTGCGTCTAATCGCTAGAATGTAGAAACAGTAATGAAAAAGTAAAACAAAATAGAAAAGGAATGAAGCACAATCAAGATGGCAGGTGCCCCCGTGTTGGGTCTCTATGCTGCAGCGGACTGGGCAGCGAAAGCAACGAACAAGCCTGACAAAGACAGACTCTGGGGGTTCTTTGAGGAAATGAATGACTCTGGGGGTTCTTTGAGCAGTCCCCTTGATTGCCCCAAAAATGTTTGCTTGAAAACATTTGGCTCAGGGCTTGCACCAACGCATATGCCTGAGCAAGTGATTTCCACCCAAAGAAACACGCTTTTTCTGAATATTCTTCTGCAACCATTTTTTCTCTGAGTGGAAAGATAGAAAGGAACTGCACAAGCAGAATTGCCTGGTGCCTCAGCTGCACCCCCTCTGACCTCTTCCATTTGATACAGCCTCAAATATATATCCAGTTACCAGCTGCAGCTCCTACTTTCGCACGATAACATTCTTAGCGTTTGCTGCAAACCTTAATTGAGATGAATAGTTTTCAAGTCCAGGGTCTTTGGCTAAAATTTAATCCAGCAAGACTTCTGAGTCTTCAGAATTAGACGTCCCCCTCCACACACACATACAAAGTCTTCAAGATAATAATCACAACCGAGCTATAGAAAATAGACATGTTGGGAAGATGAAACTGGTTGAGTCGGGAAATGGATTAAAATTTTAACATGCCCCCTTTAGTAATTATACAGTTATTTCACTCTCAGTTGATTCTTTTTCCTGCCCTTGCCCCAGCCTCAGCTTTCCATAAATTCAGATAAGCAAAGGGAGGGGAATTGGTGATTGCAGACTCTACTCGCATTAAAGCCTTTAGAAAGTGACTCATAGAGTTTTAATGAGGAACAGGAGAAGAAAAGGGGGTGAACTCCAAGGACACAGAGATGTGGGAGAGATGAAGGATATGTCTTTTCAGTATAACTCAGGTCAGCCCATGTTGAGCAGTTTAAAGAAGTGGGGGTGGCAGAGGGGGGTGGAGAAGAAATACAAAAATGGAAAAAAGGACATTTAAATGTACTCCCAGCTCGTTCATTACGGTAGGAGGACTGATGCAATTTTGGAGCAACTCCGTACATCTTTTATGGCTGATTCACACCATCTTTTTTGTATGAAATGGTCTCTCTGCTGCAAGAGCTGGTGCAGGTCTGTGCACTGAGGATTTACGTAGGAGCTCTGAGTTTGTCCTGGATTGAGCACCTGTTTTTCAGTCTCCTAAAGTGAGATCAAACCAGTGTGCTATGCAATTCAGGGCTGGGGCATCTCAGCAGGGGTGGGAGTGGATTCTATTGCTGTTTGGCTACAAGGAGCTCTCATTTACATAGTGATTCAATTAAAGCACCAGCCAATGCATGCTTAGACGGAACAAAGTCTTGTGGGACTACAGGACTTTTTTTCTATCTAAACATGCATAGGTTTGCACCCTAAACATGCTAAAGGCTGCAGAATTTCCTTATCTCAGCATGCATAGGGCAGTGCCCTAAACATGCAAAAGATTCTTGGATGTTTTTTCTGACATGCATAGGACTGCAGGACTTTTCTTGTTTAAGCAAGCATAAGAATGTACCCCTATTCCATGTGAATTAGGAACTGTTGGAACGGAAATCCTGTCCTCCGTTCTGGGAGGCAATATGTAGAAACAGGGTGCCAATTATAACATTATAATTATATTATAATATGCTGAGAGTAAGCATATTATATACTTTCTTTGCATAGTGACTTTTAAGTTGGTTGTAAAGATGTATGGATATTCTTAACTCCATTCCGTCTGCATTTTATTAATTTTCAGGCATATTTCATTCAGTTGAATACTCACTGATAGTAATTTTTCCCTTTTTCTGAGCTTGCTTTCTCATTGAAAACTTGCACACACACAAATCAGAAAATGCATGTTCACAAGTGCATTGAGAATTTCCCCACTAACATTTTCACACTGTACCCTTTGGGAAAATATATACATTTTCCATCAGTGTTTTCTTTTTAATCATCTTCTTCATATTTTCCATGAGTAAATTTGTGTACAAGTCCAGAAAGTTTTTTCCCCGACTGATCTACAAGTTCTCATGACTTAAACAAGATGGGCTACTGCAGGTTGGATTCATTCAAACCTGAATGCATTGCAGACAGAAACCGGCTGCTTCCCAGGAAGAAAGATTCCACACACATCCCACAGGCTGCTTTTACACCAACTTTTTCTGTTTTTTCCTAGGTTTTGACATGATGGAGGCCTTTGGACTGACAGAAAAGGAATATGCCTCCATCCGAGGGGTGGCTGTGGAGCCCTACATCTTCCTGGGGACTCACACGTATACCCTCTTCAGGGATATCCAGCTAACCCGGAAAACAGGGTAATGTGAGAAGAGGTCTGCTGCAGGATTCCCAGTTCAATATGATGTACTCTGAACACAGCCTTTGTGCTTTCAGTCAGAGGCCTGCAAGGAGTCCATTTGGGGTTGGGCTTGGGGTTGGGGTTGGGAGCTGGTTTTCCCCCTGTTTGTTTCAAGCTTCCAAAACAGTAGATGGTCTCTTTGCAATGTAGCTCTTTATTGCCAGTTCACAACTAGCAAGCAACAGCCTCCAGAATACTAGCCTCTAAGCATAGGCAGAGTGGTTTGTTGACCCCAACTACTTATAAAAACCTTCATTTTTGGTAAGGCTGGGCTCCACCCCTCTGGGTGGTCCCTCCAAAGAAAAGCTAACCTCTGAGAACGCCACAAGCACTCTAACTGGATGATTCTTCTATCCCGACACCGCATCCCCCTCTTCTCCTTTGTCCCCTCCCTTATCTTCCGAACCCTGCTTGGTCTCATGGCCTGTCTGCGCACCTGGGGATGATGGCCTTGGACAACTACACCCTCCTCTGCCTTCTGGATTCCCACACCCAATTTCCCAGCTATCCTCACCCAAAGAGTTGGCACAACCCTGACCTTGGAAAGCACATCGAGAATAACTGCCTAATCCATTTTCAACAGTGAGACTCCACTGGATTCTCTGGGCTTGGCTTTCTGGACTCGGGTCTGTTTGTGGCGGCCCAGAATCAGAGTTCCAGCATTTGTGGGGTGCTTGGTAGGAATCAAATCCCATGCACTGCTCAAGTCATGCCCCTTTCTGGCGTGCACCCCTTGCAGAAGTGGAGTGGAGAAGATGGGTCATCACGGGGAAGGGAGACCACTGTGCCTGGTCTCAGTGCCCCCTTTCCACATCTGGACAGGGAACAACAGGTGTCTGCGAGCATTCAGACTTTTTCCTGGCTCATCTCGCTTTGAGGACTTGGCCAGGCATGAGGGAAGCTTGCCGAGAGCCAGAAGGATCTTAAAAGGTTCTTCCCAACCCTGCTTCTAATCTCTTATCAGCTGATAGACTCTAATTTAGAGGTGAGCCAAAATTTCTCAGATGTTATTCTTGGAAGATTTCTCAGATTTCTCTCTTCTGTGTTAGGACTAGTGCTCGTCAACTTAGTCATAAATGATCTGGAACCAGGAGTAGGTAGGGAAGTGGCCAAGCTGGCTGATGCCACTAAGCTTTTTAGGGTGGTTAAAACCAAGAGGGGTTCCAAGGGGATCTCTCCAGAAGGGGAAGCAAAATGGCAAGTGCATTTCATACAAGCAAGTGTAGAGCAATGCCTTTTGGGGCAAAAACCCAACTTCAAATAGATGCGGATGGGATCTGAACTAGCAGTAAATGAACAAGAAAGGGAACTTGCGGTAGTAGTTGGCAACTTGATGAAAAGGCCAGTCCAGGGCTCAGCTGCTGCAGAGAAGTCAGACTCCGTGCTGGGAATAATTAGGAACAGAACAGAAAATAGAACTATCAAACTCTTACTTCCCTTATACAAATCCTTGGAGTGACCACATTTGAAATACTGTGTTAAGTTCTGGTCACATTTCTAGAAAAAAGACATTATTTTTATTTATTTATTTATTTATTTATTTATTTATTAAAACATTTCTATGCCGCCCCTTGCCAAAGCCTCGGGGCGGCTTACAACACAATAAAATACAATAAAATACAAAAATAACAATTATTGAGTTGGAAAAGGTACAGAGAAGGGCAACAAAAATGATCAGGGGCTGGAACAGCTCCCCATGGGGCACAGCTACAGCAGCATGGACTGGTCTTCTTAGAAAGAAGGCGAGGAAGGGGAGACATCGCAGATGTGTTTAAAATAATTCATTGTGTAAAGACAGTAGAAAGGGAGAGCTTTTTCTCCCTCTCGCAACACTCAAACCCAGTTTTGACTAATTTCAGAGCAAATTCTACCAGAGGATATTTAGAACAGCCCAAATACAAGGTCACTGTAAACATTATGGAGAAGACTAGTTGGGCAATATCAGGAAATGAAGCTATCAATTTCAGTTCTACGCATTTTCTCTCTCTTTCTCATGCTCTTCCCCATCCCTGAAATGGAGTTCATTTTGGCCCCGTTCGACCTCTGTTTTGTAAGTACCCACAAAATCCCTCTGGATTTTCAAGTGCACTTTTCCCAATATACACAATTTTGTGCACACTTTCTCCCAAATACATATTGCTGTGTACACTTTTTGCTCAAGTTCGCAAATTTGGCATGCTTTTCCCTCCTATTATAATGCATTTCTGTGCATGATTTTAGCATTGCATACATTTGTGGCACTGTTCCATCATGTACACATTTTATTTGCCCTTTTTCTTAAAGTGCCATCATTGCGAAGATTGGATTTTTCACTGCAGAGCAGGCAACATTTGGAAAAGTTTGAATGTGGGTGCCCAGTTCTGCTCCGGTGTTTATTAGTACAGGAGATGGACGCTTGCTGCAAATGTTTCTTGTATCCCTGTTGTGATCATCTATCCTCTGACTATTTCAAGCATTAAGACTTATTGCTGATGGTTCTAACGGGCTCTGGGGAGATGGGAGCACCTACTTCCCCTACTGAGGAAGAGGAACTCAAGCATCCAGCTTGATGGATTCAGAACTTCCCAGGCAGCTCTGCTTGAGACTGGGAGGAGCAGTTTTGGCAGAATTATTTCACTGCAGAACCCCTTATATCAAATGCAGAAGCGCCTCCGGATAAATTGAATGCACTGCTTAGTTATGCGGCAAAGCTAGCTGGGGTCCTGAGATATTTGCAGGCAAGGTCTCTGATCCCACCTCCTTTTGTTTCGGTATGCAGAGTGCCATCTCAGCATTTTTGCTTTTGCTATCTCTATGCATGGTATCAATACAGATCCATCAAACTAGCAGCCCATCTGATAAGGCAAACAGCCGTCCTGGGTGTAATTTCCTAGAGATACACATCAATTTTAATAAGCCCCTCCATTATTGCTTGCTCTCCTCTTTTCTTTGCAATCTCTTTGAGCAGAATGATATGACTTTCACCCCAGATTTAGAAGAAAGCTCACCCGGGAGAGAAACATGACCTCTGTCTTGACCCGGTTATCTTAGAACCAAACTGTCTAGCATGTGAATGGTGTGGTTGCAATTAAGATGTCCAAATTTAAAACATTTTAATAAGTACTGTGATGGAGATTGGAGTCATGAAATCTGAGCAATGGAAGGTCAACTCTTCCCAGCACCATGGCCCCAATGTTTTTATTTAAATAAAAAATTTCAACCTAAAAAAATTTCAACCTAATACAACCCCCCACCCCACCGTTGACATTAGTATTTGTCCCAGGGAGGAAGCCTCAAGGGCAGCTTATCTTCCTGCCCAAATAGCTATTGCATGTCTAGAATGGTGGTTATGTCTCCTGCCCTCAACAGAGCCCCTTCTGCCTTTTCTGCTCAGTGAAAGGCCTCTCTGCTGGGAATTCAAACCCTCTCCATAGCATCGGGCATTTTCTGCACAGCTCATAATTCCTGCCCATTCTAAAGAAGTTCCAACCATCACAGAAACATAGAAACAGAGCGAGTCAGAAGGAGCCTCCCGGGCCATCTAGTCTGACCCCCGGCTCCAGCTGGCTCTGCTCACGACATGCCCACCATGTGGAAGTCCAGCCTATCCTTGAACACCCGCACCGACGGGGCCTCTACCACCTCTCGTGAAAGCCCATTCCACACCCTGGGGGTCCTGACTGTCAGGAAGTGCTTCCTGGCATCTAAATGGAACCTGGGTTCCCTGAGCTTTGCTCCGTTGGAGTGCGTCCTGCCTTCCTCTGCAGGGGAGAACAGGTCCCTACCCACCTCCATGTGACACCCCCTCACATACCTGTATGTCACCAACAGATCCCCTCTGAGTCTCCTCTTCTCCAGGCTGAAGAGACCCTGTTCCCTCAGCCTCGCCTCATACGGCATCCCCTGCAAACCGGCCCCCAACCTTGTGGCCCCACGCTGCACTGACTGGCTATATCCTTTCTGTAATGAGGGGCCCAAAACTGAACACAATACTCCAGTTGCGGGAGCACCAGAGTCATGCAGAGTGGTAGTAATACCTCTCTCGATCTAGAAGCCACGCTTCTGGCTATGCAACCAAGGACAGCGCTCGTCCTCTTGACCACCACATCACACTGCTGGCTCATGTTTAGCCTGCAGTCAACCAGCACCCCGAGGTCCCTTTCACAAGTGCTGCTCTCCAGCCACTTGTCACCTAACCTGTACTTATGACAGCTATTCCTATGCCCCAAGTGCAAGACCTTGCACTTATCCACATTGAACGCCATCCTGTTCTCTCCTGCCCACTTGCATAGTCTGTCCAGATCCTTTTGGATCTGGAGTACCTGCTCCTCAGTTGTGGCCACTGCCCCATTTTAGTGTTGCCTGCGAATTTGATCAGCAGACTGTTCACCCCTTCTTCCATGTCACTGATGAAAAGATTAAACAGGATCAGCCCCAGGACAGAGCCCTGGGGGACCCCGCTTGTCACTGGCCACCATTCCGATGATTCTCCGCTAATGGTTACCCTCTGCTTTCGGTCAGTCAACCATGCTCTAATCCACCAGACAGTGCTTTGGTGTATCCCAAAACTCCTCAGTTTCTCCACCAGGATATCATGGGGCACTTTGTCAAAGGCCTTGCTGAAATCCAGGTATACCACATCCATTGCATCCCCTCCATCTAGCCATCTCAAAACCTTGTCATAGAATTCCACAAGTTTTGTCTGGCAGGACCTGTTTTCGCGGAAGCCGTGTTGTGTGGCTGTCAGCCTCCCTTCCCTATCTAGCATCACTAGATCTCTCTCTATTATGAGCCTTTCCATTGTTTTTCCTACAATGGACGTAAGGCTAACCGGTCTATAATTCCCCATGTCCCTTCTACTACCCTTTTTGAAAATTGGGACCACTGATGCCACCCTCCAGTCCTCTGGAACTTAACCTGTCTCCACGAGGTCTCAAAAATGGAGGCCAGCGGGCGTGAGAGAACCCCTGCCAACTCTCTAAGTACTCTCGGGTGTAACCCGTCAGGGCCTGGTGCCTTTGTAATGTCCAATGCCCTGAGGAGCCCCTCGACTTCAAGGGGGGTGACTCTAATCTGTGCCCCTAAGTCCCCAGCCTCATCTAATCTCCTATGCGGATATCCCCCGTCCTGCTCTGGGGAGAACACAGAGGCAAAATAGTCATTTAGCATCTGTGCCTGTTCCCTCATATCAGTCACTGGATCTCCTTCCTCCTTATTTAGTGGTCCCACCACTTGTCTCCCCTTCCTCTTCCTATTTACATGCTGAAAGAAGCCCTTTTTGTTGCTCTTGATATTCTTGGCAAGTCTCAGCTCGTAATCAGCCTTAGCCTTGTGAAGAATCCTTCTGCAACGGGCCTCCTCCTCCCGGTATACCCTTTTGTCTATTTGCCCCAGTACCCATTTCCTACGGAGGTTTCTCTTCCGCCTAATCCCTCTAACCACCTCCTTTCGCATCCATGGCAGCACTCTCCTCCCCACCTTACTGACTAGAGGTATCGTCAAGGCTTGCGCCTCCAAAACTTCCCCCTTGAGTGCTATCCACCCCTCCTCAACTCGCTTACCTTCCAGTAACCTATCCCAGGAGACTTTCCCCAGTCTGGCCTTCAGTTGGCCAAAGTTGGCCCTCTTTAAATCCCAGCTTCTAGTGCTCGACCTGCTGCACATCCCCAGTCCCCTGATCTCAAAGCAAAGGATGGAGTGATTACTCACATCCAGAGCTCCCCTAATCTGTACTTCACCTATCAGCTCCTCCCTATTGGTCAAGACCAAGTCAAGGATGTTTCCCCCCCTCGTCACCTCTCGGACCCTCTGTGTGAAAAACCCTCCCTCTATAGCTTCTAGGAAGCGACGTGACCTGGCTGTCACCGCCGAGTGAGTCTCCCAAGTAATATCCGGGAGATTGAAATCTCCCATAATTACTGTGTCTCTCCCCCGAGATATCCTTAGAATCTGGCCTGTCAGGACATCATCCAGTGTGTCAAGTTGACCTGGAGGGCGATAACATACCCCCACTGTCAGGTCTCTTTCCCTGTCAAAACCCCTAAGTTTAACCCAGACTGCCTCTACCGAATCCCCATCTGTGCTGCATTCTGTCTCACTGCATCCTATCCCTTCCCTGACGTATAAAGCTATGCCCCCACCTCTCTTTCCCTTCCTGTCCTTTCTAAAAAGGTGATACCCTTCTATGTTCACATTCTAGACTTGCCTTTCATCCCACCAAGTTTCTGTGATTCCCACCAGATCATACCTTCCTATTCCCAGGAGAGCTTCAAGCTCTTCCTGCTTATTACCCATGCTCCTAGCATTGGTGTACATGCACCTCAACTCCTTCCCACCACTTCCTTTCCTTGGAGTTCCCAGCCTCCTCCTTTCTCCCATTCTCCCTGATACCTGGCCCCTCTCTGTAGGAGTCCTGTCAGTCCCTGCAGTATCCCTAAAACGCTGCTCCCAGAGCCCTGATCCTCCCCCCACACTTGTCCAGTGCAGATACATTACTGGGGGGCCTGAACCCGCCCCCCCGGCTCAGTTTAAAGTCTTCCGGATGAAGCTTGCTAGAGCATCTCCAAAGGACCTTTTCCCCATCCTCGTGAGGTGTAACCCGTCCCTTGCCAGAAGTCCATTGGCAAGAAAACAAGTGCCGTGGTCGAGGAACCCAAAGCATTCCTTCTGGCACCACACCCTAAGCCAGTCGTTCACCTCGGAGGCCCTCCTGTCCCTTCCTGGCCCAAATCCCCAGACAGGTAAGATTGACGAGAAGGCCACTCGGGCCTTCAGCTCCCTGAGTGTCTTCCCCAAGGCCTCAATTTCCCTGGTGGTCCCAACCACACCCTGCCTGGCCACATCCTTTGTGCCCACATGGATCACCAGGAGCGGCTGGTGACCCCCGGAGTGAACAAGACGCTCCACTCTGTCCTTCACATGCCGGATGCGTGTTCCTGGCAGGCAGCAAACCTCCCTTGTCTCCAGGTTGGGGCGGCGGTGTGCCCCTCAGCAGGGAGTCCCCAACAACAATCACCCACTGCCATACCTTCCCGGTGCTGGTGGGTGGCTGTGCCCTGGCCCTCGCCTCTCCTGCAGCGGCCCCCTTCAAAATCATTCCTGGACACCTTGTTTTTCTAACCCGAACCCTACCCTGGTGCACACCCCTAACCATAAATAGGGTTAAGTTCCATTGAAAATTGGACAATTTTGAAAAAGTCTTCCATGAGTTGATTTTCCTGCACAGCTCATCATTTCTGCCCATTCTAAATGCATCCCAACCATCAAAATCATGCTAGGACACCTCGTTTTTCTAACCCTAACCTTACCCTGGTGCTCACCCCTAACCTTAATATAGGACTAAAGTTCCATTGAAAAGAGGGGACACCTAAAGCTAAACAAGCCATAACCCCCTTCAAAGGTCTTCCGAAGATCGGGGGGGGGGTCTCCTTCTTCCCTGTGAGGCCCACATTCAGTTGTGGAGAAGTTTCAAGGTGACGGTCCATTAGTACGTGTGGCCAAAGGCAAAATGCATTGCCAACACACCAGAAAGAGCAGTACATTTTAGCCTATGTGCCTCCAGGGAGGCTTTTCAAGTCTTCTAGAATGGGGGAAGGAACTGCAAACAAGCTGGGCATCCTCCAAGGTACTGGCAGGGAGGGGACAGGGTGTGGAGGAAGGGGAAGGGGTCCCCATTGAACTGGGTTGGCCTGGGACCCAGTGAGGTGTCTTATTTCATCCGTGAGCTTCAGGTTCGCCCACATCCCTGGGCAGCTGCTGAGAGTAAAACTCTGCCATGGATGGTGTCGAACTGAATCCGTTGAGAGCTCATTGTATGCCCCATACCATGTCAAGCCATGTTGTCACCTGCTGCAAGTTGGTCTCAGTGAATCAGTGACTTTGGAACATGACTTTGCTTGTTGAGTTGCAACTCGGACCTCTCTGCGTAATCTGGGGTTTATAATGGCGCGGCATGTATGCCATTGGATTCTATTATTGACTACAGCTTTGCAAATCAAAACAGACAGGGATTATGAAGAGGCAGATGTAGCTTCCTTTTTAAGTTTAATTGCTGAAACATAGGGATAATTTTAATCTTGTTTAAAGAAGCAAAGCTTCTTAACAGCAAATGGTGAGATTCCACAGAGTCCTTTCGTCAAAATGTTCAGAGACACTGATTTGTTCTTTTAGCCATAATAATGACCAAAATAAAAAGCCTTTCAAGGGCACGATGCCATTAATGAGAAACAGACAGAGAAAACACAAAAGTAAAATTTCACCTTTGGATATGTTGCCATGTTGGATGGATATGTTGGATAAGGCTGGCAGTCAGTGTGTTTGGAAGGCTAAGAGTTTGGTCTTTCTTATTTATTTATTTATTTATTTATTTATTTATTGGATTTTAAAAAGACTGCTCATTAGCATCACGATCTCTGCGATCTGACAGAGGTGACCAGAAGGCGCCAAGTGGAGGAGCAACAGAAGTCATCTTTGCTTTCCCGTGCATCCAGCTCTGCAGTTTTGCTAGATGGAAGTTGTGGAGATCTTGCATTCCGGTCCTAACAGTCTCCTCCTCTCCTCATTCCCTGAATGGTCTCTTTACCCCCTTCCAAGGTCACTGTCCTTGGAGAGCATCCAGTGCACTTCTTTCTCTGTCAGCTCAAGAGAGCCGGAGAAGCGGATGGAGCTCTGATACCTGACTGCCATGGAAAAGCACTGAGAGTGACCCCCAACCTGGAAATCTGAACTATCCTGCGCAGGGGACACCAAAACCGTTCCCTGAGATTAGGTGCATGTGGGGTTCAACCATAGCTAGCATCAGCCTTCCCCAACGCCCGTCAGAATGCCGTTACCTAATTGTTCAATCAAAAGCTTCGTTCTCCCTTCTGTCTGGCCTCTCTAAGGACCTGCTGCCTTCTATACCTTCTGGCCATGACTCAGAATATATACGAAATTCATTTCAGAATTTTTAAAACTCAGGATTTACTTAGTTCTCACCTTTTAGTCTAAAAATGGACCCAGGTGTAATCTGAGATCCTAATTCAGATCTTTCTAAGCCTGAAATGTGATTCACGGACCCTCACCGAACCCCAAATAGCTTTGATGGTATGCAGACTGTTGAAAAATACAATCGATACATGCATTTGAGAGAGAGAGAATTCTGTGCAAAACAAGGTAAACAAAGCTTGCAATCTAATTCAGACTCAGAATAAGCTTCAGGTTAAACCTTGGAACCTTTGGTGAGCTAAGGTTTTGCTGCTTTGTACATCCTGCGTATGCTGTGAGGGTTCGTACCCCTCCCCTGATGCAGCGTGGAAAGATTTAAGGGGCTCAACCTTCTGTTGTCCCTCCGTTTGGTTTGCTCCCTTTGTTGATGACTAAGAAGGAGGTACTTATGATCCGTGACAAGGGAGACCTGGTTCCTCTGGAGAGTTTAATTCAGGGTGTACTCTTCCTAGGTGTCAGCAGAAGCCTGGCTGGGGTTCGTCGCCTCTCAGCTAGATAGACCAGTTAATCAGACTCCATATGAAGCTGATCCCCATGTTTCTAAGTTCTTGTGAAGATCATTCTAATATATTTTACTTTGCTGTCTTTCTGCACAAACTACTTATTTCTACAGTGAAGTCTTTGTCTCTGGAATTCCAGCTGAATTCACAATCACCTTCCTTCTCCGCCTTCTGCCAGAAAGTCCCCGGGAAGCCTTTGCTGTATTGCAGATAACAGATGAGGACTTCCAGCCTCTTCTTGGCATCATACTTGATCGTAAGTAGGTCCGTAGGACATTCTGCTGGGGGTGTTTTTGTTGCTACAAGAGATGCGGACCATTCCTCTTGCAATTCCTCTGCTGGGGAATGCTGTCCCCAACCCTCTTGACCTGGTCCCTAATAATACGGTTTATTTTAGAGGCCAAGGGTTCCGTTTGCTCAAGCTTTCACTGGCTCTCCATCTGTGCTTTCTCCATTGATCTTCAGGCCCATGTGACAAATCTGGCCCTCCAGGTTTCCTCAGATGTGAACACCCCTTGGCTGCAAACCATTTCCTCTGACCACAGATCACCTTTCTCCAATCTAAAAGGCCAGAATACCTCTCCCAAGGCTTCATTGCTGGCAGCAAGATGACTAAGCTGTCATAGGCTGCCATTTTTTTTTGTATTTAGGTCCCACCCCTTGTTTATTTGGCCCAATCCACAACTGGAATGCAGCCACCAAGAGTGTCCAGACTGAACCATTGTTTGGGTGGAAAGTCATTCCGCATTCCTCCTTGGAAATCAAGTTACTGGGGACTGGATTTGGAAGCTTCTGCATATGCAATATATTTTTCTGTCCCTCAGCTGTGGTTCTACCTTGCCAAAGGCTTCCTCCCTCTGGAGGTCCTCACCTGGCTGTCCCCTTGGCATAGCAGCCCACACGCACAAGTTCCATCAAGATCTGTGGGATTTGTGCTGGATTGTACGTGTTGATTTTTCATGAATCTCTACCCATTGAAAACTTTCAGGTTGGGGCATACACAGAGAGCCAGTGTGGTGTAGTGGTTAAGAGCATGGGACTGGGACTCAGATGACCTGGGTTCGAGTCCCCGCTCAGCCATGGAGCCCACTGGGTGACTTTGGGCCAGTCACAGCCTCTCAGCCCAACCTACCTCACAGGGTTGTTGTTGTGGGGATAAGATGGAGGAGGAGAATGATGTAAGCTGCCTTGAGTCCTTTGTAGGAAAAAGGCAGGATGTAAATTGCAATATAAATAAATAAATACTAAGCACCTGGACTGCACAAGGTGAGACCCACCAAACAGAATGCAGGTTGCTCGCCATGTTAGGTAGCCCTCCTGGGGTATGATAAACCTGCTCCGGATTCCTGCCTGGGACTAAACCCTCGGGACAGCAAGAAACCCAAACCAAGGGACAGCAAGGTCTGCTCTATATTCACTGAAGGAAATATGCTTTTGAGGGACCATATTGTAAGAGGTTCTTCGAGTTCCTCAAACTTTTTTGGTCCTGAAAGCAAAACGTCTTCCTTTTCCCCTCTGTTATTTCCGCAAAGCCCCTCGCCTGTTGTTGGTGATTTTGACATCCTGTGTGCTTTTCTTCAGCACCTCCCCTTTGTGTTCATCTTCCCTGTAGCCAATAAGAAATCCTTGATATATTTCCATCGTGACCATGAGACTGATATAGAGGAAGTCATCTTTGACCAGCAGGAAGTGAAGAGGATCTTCTATGGGAGCTTTCACAAGGTCCTTATCCAAAGAAGGAGAATGGAGATGCATGATGGTCATGGCAGAAACAGCTAAATTATGGTCCTAGACCTATCCTTGGGAAGTTTGCTGAATTCTTGGTGTTTCTGCCTGCTGAAATACTAATGGATTTTCAGGCATGTGCCAGCATGATAATGAACTGCTAAATCACTTCCTGTCTGCATGTGCTAATCTATTAAAATGTATGCACAAATGCATCCAAGAATACAGAAGGGAATGAGAAAATCTGCACGGGGGAGGGATAATCCTATGACTCAAATATTAAAAATGATCTACAGATTAATCAGAAGCAATCAGCTGGACTTATAGAGCTGTCATCAGGCCATCAGTCTGCCCACTCCAGAATGGTCTGTTCCAAATGATAGACAGATTTGCAATGCTGCAGGTGGAGCTCTTGCCCAGCCCTTCGGTTCGAGGGACCTTTAAACTGGAGATGTCACTGAATGGACCAAATAAGTGCTGCCTGCTAAGACTGTCCCCATGTCATGTGCCACGTATAACTCAGAAGAACAGCTGTGGCTGAGGAGAAGGCTTGCCTTCCATGCAGAAGGATGCACGGCCACTCTGGGTAGAACTAGGGCAGACTTCAGCCCGACCCCTTGGGAGCCATTGGCTACCAGACACTGCAAGCAATGCTGCCTTAGGCAGACGGACCGAGAAGACACAGCTTCCTGTGCATATGGCGGAATCTAATTTACATTACGTAACTGCAGTTTATCTACTTATATTTCATTTTATATGGCCCAATAGCTGAAGCTCTCTGGGCAGTTGACAAAAATTAAAAACACAGAAACAAGAACGAGAGAAAAATGACATTGGACAATAAAATCACAGCAGTCGCGAATGAGTCAATATTTGTCGTTAAAAATGTAACAAAATACTGGGAAAATACTAAAGGTTTTACCTGGTGCCTAAAAGAATACAGAGTAGGTGCCAGGCATGCCACTTTGGGAAGCTCATTCCAGATCTGGGGTGTCACAACCAAAAAGACCCTTCCGATTGCCTCTCTCTTTACTTCTTTTGCTTGCATGACTTTGAATCCATCTAGCAGCTACATCCTTTTTCATTTTCACTCTAGCATAGGCCCAGTATGGATCAGGTTCCTAGCCATGGTGTGTAGGAGGACTTTTAAAGTCTGGATCAGCCACTCTGCATAAGAAATACAACATCTGCTGCTGTTGCTGGTCCAACTGTGAGGCTGCAGGGCAGAGGTGAAAGGCCTCTATAAACCCCTGACCTTGGATTGCAACCCCATCGTGCCTGACCATGGGTCATGCTGTCTGGGGATGATGGGGACTGGAGTCCAACAGGAACTGGTGGGTTGCAGTATCTGGAGCATAAGAATCTAGCATGCCCAGATATGGTGCTAAATGCTTTCGTTTAGCAGCAGTGCTACTTTCTGGCATTCAGTTTGTGTACATCCAAAATCTCTAGCTGAAATTCTGAATGTTTAAAAGAAAACTGCAAAACTTTGCATTTCTTTGATTCATTATTGATTTTGCCTCAACAGGTATCAAGTGGGGGGTCTTCATAGGCCAGGGTTAGAGTTAGGGTTAGGGTAATGTAATGCAAGGCAACTTAATATAATAAATATAACAACATAAAACATATGCATTAAAATAATCATATACAAAATGTTCCCAGAGCGAGAGCAGTAAAACCTGTCTCATAAAATACACATGTTTGTGATTTTCATTATGTTATGGTTGCTAAATTAATTTTTCATTGAGAGCTGCCTTGAATGGCTGTGCTGAAAGGCAGGACAGAATTTCTTTTAATTAATTGATTGTTAATTAATTAAATAGCAGCAGCATAAACATTGTACCTCTCATGTCTCTGTTTTTCCATATATAGCTGACTGTCGCTGAACCCTTTGCCTTTGAAAAGCCTAATAACTACTCTACAATTTTTCCCCTATTTACATGACTAAAGGGGAGCTGCATCCTGCTTGAATTCTTTCCTCCCTCTTGCCTCTCTGCTTTTGCAGGTTAATGATCTTAGCTGGAAGCTTCATGCAGGAGTCCACCTTGGTCCATGCACAGCCTTACTTTAATCAGACAGACAGAGCTGGTACTTCTCAAGCTTAGCAGGATCTCAGTTGTGAATTATTGAATGGCTGATGGGAGTCCATTTGTTCCTCCTTTGATGTGCTCCAGAGTTGACTTGCCCGTGTGGCAGAAAGTTGGCAGGCTGTTTTTGAGAGATGATGATCACTTTGTTCCTCTCTCAGCCTGGAAGAGGTGCACAGTCTGTCCCCTTCGATCCACTTCTCTCTTCTCCCAGCTTCAAATTAACCTTTTCTTGTTTGCCAGTGGAAGCTCGTGACTCTGGCGTCTCTGTGACAATCTGACCCCCACTGGATTGGGTGGCTTTTTGCCCACACAAACTTCATCTCCAGCCGCCCCCTGCCCCGATCCCTCCGCTCCCCTCTCCATACATCCATTTTTACAAACAGGGGTGTCTTTATCAGACAGCATCCTTTAAAGATGCAGGCACTTCAGAGCATCCGTAAATTAGCTTATGCAAATTGATGTCACCTATTTTCAATGCAAAATATTAGAACAATATTGTAACTGTGGAGCTAAGACTTCTGCAAAACTGAATTGCTACGAAGAGCTAGCATAGACAGCCAGTCTGCTGCAGTGGTTAGAGTTTTAGACGGGAAAAGCCACGAAATCCAAGTTCTAGTCCTCATGTGGCCATGAGGCTTCCTGGAAGGCTTTGGGCCAGGCACTGACTCTCAGTCCAAACTACCTGACAGGGTTGTTGTGAGGTTAAAAAGGAAAGGAAGAAGGTTATGCAAGCCACATACCCTGAGAGAAAGAACAGCTTACGGAGGGGAGGGGAGGGCCAGGTGCGTTGGCCATTGGTGAAAGTCCCTTTGCAGATACGCACCTTCTGCCAGACCTTTCCTTCCCCTGTGTTGTATCTTTAAGCTGACGAGACGAGCACAGGACTTGAACGGCGACCCCCACGACTGCTGCTGCAAAAGCACCGGGCACTTTGCAGCTGCAGATCACAGGGCTGACTCTGAGAGCCCTGGGAGAGGAAACAATGCTGCCGGTATCACTGCCCTGGAGTGTTGCTTCGCTTAGACAGAAATGCGGTGGAAGGCCGGCTGGCTGCCCCAGTCCTGGAAAAAGCAACCTCTTCTCCGTCTCCTTCGTCTCTTTTGTCTCCTCCTTCTTTTAGAGCAAGCCTCTAAAATTAGGGGGACTGGCTCTGAGAGGGGCCACAGCACATAGATCAAGTCCCAGGTTTGCTTGCAGAAGGGCCCAGATTCAATCCATGGCATCTCCAGGTGGGCCTGGGAAGATTCCAGAAGAAACCACTGAACCAGATAGGGCCAATGGACTGACTTGCTGTGAGGCAGCCTCCTGTATCCCTAGGTGTATAAAATTATGCATGGTGTGGAGAAAGTGATAGGGAGAGCTCTCTCTCTCTCTCTCTCTCTCTCCCCCCCCCCCCCCCCGCGGTTGTGCCTCCCCCCCTGGAAGCAGTGTGCCTCCGAATGCCAGTGGCTGGGAAACAGGAGCAGGGGAAGGTTTTCCTACCTGTGGGATTCCCTTGCCCACCTGCTTGGCCAACCTGGAAGGAGAATGCTGGACTGGCTGAGGCAGCTTTCTCCAGCTTGGTGTTCTCCAGGTGTGGTGGCTTCAGCTCCAGCAGCCGTGCACAGTCTTCAATACCAGTTTTTCTAGAACTGTTGGCAACTTGTTGAGACTCTCATGGTTGGAGTTCAGCACATTTGAAGGACACGAGGTTGAGAGAGGCTGTTCTAGGGCATCACTGGGATGCCCCAGCAATGGAAGTCGGGGAAATGTTTCAAATTATGTGCAGAGCAATATAATCCATCAGAAAAACAGTGCAGGGCAGCAAAGAGGTGCGCTTCTTGCTTGCTGAGCAGAAATTTGAGCCAAGCTCCTCACGCTCTTCTCCTAACCATTGTGGCACGAGGTCTGCTTCATAAACTATACGCATATGCTCTATGGTCTGGCTGTGAAGTCTCTGGTTGTCTTAGATTGCATCAAATAGCCAGCATCAAGGTGAGGCACAAGGTAACTATTTCTGTCTATTGAGCAGGTGCACATATCAGTGAGCCGGTCCAGGGTCAGTCTCTATATTGACTGCAGGAGAACATCAGAGAAGCCACTTGGAACCTCCGAGGACATTTCAATGGCAGGCTTTGTCATGCTGGGAAAACTGACGAGGACACGGGGCCCCCGGAGTGGGTCAGCAATGGTAAGTCCACTGCAAGCGTGTTCCCAGTAGGAGCCCTTCCTCCCTGGCCTGGATCAGAAAGCCAGTGTGGTGAACCAGTCAGACTGCTAGACTGGGTCTTGGGAGAACTGGGTTCTAGTCCCACTCAGCCATGAAGCTCACAGGGTGGGCCATAGGTTTGCAAATTTGGGCCACAGGCTTGGGTCAGCCACCGATTTGCAGCCCAACATACCTTGTGGGGCTGTTTTTGTGAACATTATAAGGGAAAGGAGGAGGACCTCATGAGCATCATTGAATTCCTTGAATGAAGAAGAGAATCGGGATGCGAACCACCCCACCCAGCTGCTCCTTAAGTGAAAGTTTGGGCATCAATTTGTAGCATCCCTGATTGTTGCCTTGGTCTTCATGATGTCCAAACTCTCTGGAGGGCACCAAGCTGATAAGGAATCAGAAGATATTAATAGGAGAGAAATGCTTTGCCATAAGCAAGAGTTCATTATAGCACAGTGTCCTTTCAAAATCTCTTGCTTCCCTGCAAAAGAAGCAGTTGTTTTTCTGCCTCTTCTGCTGGAATGCTAAGAGTCAGAGAAATGTCTTGTGATGCAGGGCTTCAGAGCTTCCCTTACCAACAGCTCTGGCTCTTTCTTTTACTATTCCCCGCACCCCCAATTCTGTTCTTGCAGCCTCTCTTGCTGCTGAGTTCCTTGGGAAGCCCCTTAGAGAATTTAAGAAGGACTTCCTGCCCTTGTTGGGAAGTCAAAGACACTCTTGTTCAGCATTCAGGCTCTCAGCAGGAAGCACCATCGAAGACACCCAAGGTTGCAGTCCTGGAGAAGTCTTATACAGGGCTTTTAAGAAAACTCAGACCACTGAAGTTCCTGCAAGGACAGGATGGCAGCATGATGAAAGAGCGTAGACACACCTCCACTTATAGTAAGGGGAGCACTGAAGCCTTGAACTAAAATAATGCCCAAAATTCTCAGTATCTTTATGTCCTTCTTCGAACAAATGGTCAGAAACAATAGATCGAACATTCTCTTAGCCTTAGCAGATGTGGCAACTGTGCTTCTCATCATACCAAAGCCTTCTGTGGAATGAATGTTCTCTCTCTTCCTTCTGGGGCAACCTGGCTGTGTGTTCCTTTCCATCACCACCTCATTGCAGCGAATATAGCTGCGGACGATGGACAGGACAGGTGTGGGCTGGTGACTACATTGCACCTGCCAACCCCAGCCAACCTTTCTTGCATCTTTCTTTTACTTTCTGTACAGAAGCTGTGTACTTAAGCTAGGAATGGGCAGATAAGTCTATTTTTCTATGTTTCTAAGTCTGTTCTGTCCTGCTTTCATATCTGTCCGCAATTAAAAAAGAGCATGTGAACTTATTTTTATGCCTGTCCTCACAAACTGCAAATTGGTGTAAGCATCTCATCCTAAGCCACACATTTTCATGCATTTTATCCTAAAATGTGGACTCTGATATTTTTTCCTCAGTCGAGAACGACATTCCATAATCTGCAGAAGAACAAAACATGTGGAACAACGTTGTTCTCAGCCAATGAGTGTGTCTGGAAAGTGTGGTTTCAGTAGGTTCACGTAAAAATATGTTTTTCCAGAATGCTGGTCTCAGCATAGAGATAGCCTACACACACTTAGGTCTTGGCTCCCAGCCAAGCAAAGTCTAGGGGAAACGTCTTAGGAAGTGGAGGCTGGGATTCTATCATAAGCTCCACTCCCTTAGAGGATGTGGGGCAACTGAGGAACCCCAGTGGTGGGGAGGCGTCTTTGGACACCACCCCAAGCCCCGCTTTGTTGATTGGCCTCACTCCATTGTCCTGGGCTATCTGGAGTGCTGTCAGTGGAGGACTCAAGAGTTGTGCACCATCCACCTGGGCACCACGTTGTTTCTGCTCAGGAAGGAGGAACAGTCAGAACTGCAGACAACGAGAAAGCAAAGCCTGTGGCACCTGCTTAACCTAGGTTGCTGGTATTTTCTGCTTTCCTGAAAATAGAAATAGCCTATACGAACTATGCAATGCTGCAGATGAATAGCACAGGAAGTGCACATTAAAATGCAATTGTTCGTTGAGCTCTAAAGTCCATGGGAAAAGAAGCAGCTTTTCTTTAAAAGGCATGAGTTCGGTTGACGTCTGGCTGCAAAACCCTTGTGCCCCTAAATTGGAGTGACACCAGTAGCGTTAAGTATGGCCTCTGCTCCGTTCTGCGGTTCTTGATTGTATCTATCCACTGTGGATGAAATTGGTTTTGTAAAAGCAGGAGATATGACTCAAGCAGGAATTATCATTTTTTTTAGAAGAATGTTATTCCCCAAATTGCTATGTGATATAGATTGACAGCTGCCTTGCTGAATCGAGGACGAAAAGTCTCAAGCATCTCTCCTGTTCTTGCATTTGTGTTGTAGTCTTTTTGGCATATTGAATGGATGCGGATAACTGGGGGAGAATCCTAATGAAAGACGGGTCCTTCATTGCCTCCCTTCCTTTTTCAGATGCTTTGGTACCCATCACTTGTCAAATATTCTGCCTTTTGAAAACGGCTGTCCTCAGATAGGCAGAATGCCTCATTATTGGCTATCATCTCAGCTTATTTAACTGGATGTATCTTTTAAAATGTCATTTTGATCTGTGGAGCTTGTTTTAAGTCCATTTGTTGCCAAATATATGCTCCCTCCCTACTAAATCAGCCTATCAGTCATACTGAAATGCACATTATTATTTCTTTGGGACAGGGGACTTGTGTTGGGCAAAGAAGTACTTTTTCATGGTGACAGATGAGCGACCCTTGGCTCAACTCATGATCAAGATTTCTTGGCAAGTGGGGATTCTGTGGGGATTCATCTATATTCTGATAGGTCCTGTAATGATAATACATGTATACAGTGCTTTTTTTGTAAGAAAAAAGCTGCTGGAACTCATGAAATTATTTACCTTTCACACGTAGTCAGTCACTGTACACACACGCATACATGTCAGTTGTGTAACGAAACATAACGGTCGCCGCCTGCAGTAAGCACTCAGTGCGCGACCACACGACCAGTCACAAGCCGAGCAGCATCACAAGCTGAGCAGCGCCATCACAACCAGCACGGACGAAGTACGCATGCATCAGATTCGACACACAAGCAGCCCACATGCACCGTTTTAATGATTTTGCCTCCAACCTGCTATGCTCGACAGGGCGATTCGAATCCACATGGACCAAACATCAAATTTTCAAAAGTTACTTTTAAAACTTGGAAAATCTGTCGAAAAAAGGTGCTGGAACTCCGTTCTGGTGCGTTTGATGACAAAAAAAGCACTGCATGTATCCTAGAAGACCTTAGGGATGTTGGAAAAATCCACAATGGATTCATGTGGGTTTGGAGTTCTATGAATCCAACCTGTACATTCCACAGTGAATCAACTTTTCATAAATCACATGTAGACTGTCTATTATTTAAACTTTTCATAGTCATATCAAATTTAGTTAGAGTTTTAAAATTGTGTCTAATAGACAAAAGCTTTGAAATTCACATTTGGAAGGTATTTATGCAAAACTTCAAGGTTGCACAGGTGCACATGAAGCAAGGTTGGGAAATTGCAAAAGACCTGATTCTGCCAATGGAATGGAAGCCACCTGTCAATCCACAAAATGCAGACGGAATGGGTGAAGAAAATCCATTCATCCCTAGTGGTGCTACAAACATGTGCATGATTGCATTGATGCTGGAAATTCTAGTTTGGCTCCATCCACTCCATTACACCAGCCCTTTGCTTGGAAAATCAGCCTTTCCCCCAAAACCTCACCTGCAAACCTGGATGGGGTTTACACAGAGGTTGGGGGTGGGGACTTGAGTTTTAATGACAGGTGATATCTCACAGCATAATTCAGTTCTGCAAACTGAGCTATTCCTTCCAGGCCCACACATCAGAAAACAATGCATGATGATTTCAGACTTAGCAGAGGCCCTGCTCCAAGGAACCCTGGGAAACGACGTTGCCCTGGAACCTGATCCATAGCAAGGATCTGGGCACCTTAGGAAAGCTACCATTCCTGGGGTCCCTGGCCAGCTGCTCTTGTTTTTTCCAGGCCATCTGCTAATCACAACACAAGGATCTTTGCTTACCTCTGTTAGGCTCTGGGATAAAGTGATTCCAAGGGTCACCCTTGCGGAGTGGGAGAGAGAAATCTTCCCGGGGCCCCTGGGTGCGCCAGCCTCCTGCGAGGCATTTTATGTGGACAAAACTCCTCAAAAATTAGGAGGGTAGGTACTTGGAGGAGGGCTTTCTCTGCGGTGGCGCCCAATCTATGGAATGTGCTCCCCAGAGAGGTCCACCTGGCGCCGTCGTTATTTGTTTTTCGGTGCCAGGTGAAGACCTTTTTATTTAAACGTCATTTTAATTGTTAACAATATTTACTTATTCATCTGGCCAGGGCGACTTCTTTTCTTTTCTTTTCTTTTCTTTTCTTTTCTTTTATATCGTTTATATTATTTATTTATTTATTATATTATTAATTTTAATTTTATATTGTTATTTTGCATTGTATTGTATTTTATTGTGTTGTAAGCCGCCCCGAAGCTTCGGCAAGGGGCGGCATAGAAATGTTCTAATAATAATAATAATAATAATAATAATAATAATAATAATAACATACGGGAGATACCAAAACTGAGGAATCTCTGAGGAATCACACACTTCATGATGGAGCATGATTCCTATCAAGTATTTTGTCCCTAATTGAAAAGGAAAGTTCACTGGGTATACCAGGGGCAAAGTGGAAGGGAGGAGGGAGTTTTGCCCAAGTGCTGAAAAGAAAGGAATTCAGAACCCTAAACCCAACTTTTTCCCTCCCTGCCCCAGTATTACAGCTCTGGTTGAGGTTGCTTCAGGGAATACTCATTCCCAGGGACAGTATTCTCTGGAATCCATCTGTGCTGAAAATGTGGGATGTGGAACCATCTGTGAGATCCACATCCCACAGTTTCTTCTTTTGGCTTGGCTTCAGGCACCCAAAAATGCCCTGGCATCCTATTATTTTTCGCTAATCCTATTGATATTTGTGGAATAATGAGTTCAAGTTACAGGAAGCCAAATCCTGATAGATATCAGGAAGAACTTCCTGACTGTTAGAACAGTACGACAATGAAACCCATTACCTAGGGAGGTTTTGGGCTCTCCCACACTGGAAGGATACAAGATGCAACTGTTCAGCCACTGAGTGGGACATTTTAACTGATGGTGCATTCTCAGCATACACCAAGAATGGCTCCTTCCAACTTCACTATTCCACAATAAGTAGAAGAGCACCAAATTCCAGGAAGATCCTGCTCAGGAGTTGTTAGAAAGAAGAGAATGTCCATGGAAGTGGGTGTGGCCATTTGAGGATTTGAAGAAAGCCAGGGTTAGATCCAGGTCATCAATAGAAAGGATCTTTGACTGGAGCATCAGGACCTGGTGGGAGGGAGGTCAGATGAGAACTTGGTAAGATGTAGCAAGCCTAGGGGTAAAGGCAAGGACTGGCAGCAAGTCAGGACACAAGGGAAGGTATTGTCAGACTGGAAGCTTATACCAGAAAAGGAACACGAAGCAGCCAGCCTAAAAGTTCATGTGACTGTAGTAGAATCATAGAACAGTAGAGTTGGAAGGGGCCATGAAGGCCATCGGGTCCAACCCCCTGCTGTTGCAGGACACCGTTACACCATCCCGCTCAGATCGTTGTCCAGGTTCTTTTTGGATGTCTCCAGTGTGGGAGAGCCCCCCACCTCTCTAGGCAGCTGGTTCCACTGTTGCATTGCTCTGAGATGGAGGAAGCTTTTCCTGATGTCCAGCCTGAATCTGGGTTGCTGCAACTTCAATTGATTATTCCATGTCCTACATTCTGGCATTAGCAGAAGAGATCCTGACCTTCCTCTGTGACAGCCTTTGAGGTACTTACAGAAGGATATCATGTCCCCCCCCCCGCTCAGTCTTCTCTTCTCAAGGCTGAAAATGCCCAGTTCTCTCAGTCTCTCCTCACAAGGCAGTGTTTCCAAACCCTGGATCATTTTTATTGCCCTCCGCTGGACCCTTTCTAATTTACCTGCATCTTTCTTAAATCTTCTACTACTACGTCTTGTGATTTGGAAGTAATACTTCTGTTAATGCACCCCAAAATGGCATTTGCCCTTTTGGCAGCTGCCAGTTCAAGCTTAGCCTATTGTGCACAATTACACCAAGATCTTTTTCTTGTTCAGTTCTGTTGAGCCACATATTCCCCATCTTGTATTGATGCCTTTGGTTTCCTTCTCCTAGGTGGAGGACTTGGCACTTGTCCTTATTGATTTTCCTTCTGTTGGTTTCAGCCCAGTGTTCAAGTTTATCAAGATCACCCTGGATCTTCATTCTGTCTTCGAGGGTGTTTGCTATTCTACCCAGTTTTGTATCATCTGCAGATTTGATTATCTTTCCTTGTACTCCCTCATCTAAATCATTAATAAAGATGTTGAAGAGCACTGGGCCCAGAACTGAACCCTGTGGCACCCCAGTAAAGTAAAGCAAGGCAGGGCTGCGAAGCATTTCATGAAGCCTCCAGCAGCACCCAGCTGGTCTGCATGATTGTAATGACCATAATCCTGCAAGTACCTACAGATCTAACACCTATCCTGCAAGTACTTAGAAGGTTGACCAGGTGGACTTCTTTATAAGGTCACCAGGGGTAACTGCATCTCCCTGCAGATCCTGACAGCAGATTGAGACCTCAACTGGGCCAGATTTGGGCCCACAGAGCTGAGGTTCAACACACCTACTGTACAGACATTCTAATGAATGCAGATTTTGAATGGAACTTCCCACCCTACCTCCCATGGATGGTAGCCACATGGATTTTTCATGCCTGAAATGTGTTAATGTCTCCAGGAAACAGGATTTGATATGGGGGGTATTAGGAAGTAGAAGGAAGATAGCCCTCGTTAGAGGAATATTGGCTTGTTTCTTCTAGATCTTTTTTTAAAGCAAGACAGAATAAAACACTTTCTTTCAATGACAATGAAGTAAATTTTCCTGTTTGCAGCTGAAACCAGTTAGTGGACTCCTAAAAAGAATACTTTGCTCAGTGCAGACCTGTTGAATGCTGGCTCACTGAACATGCATCTGTTGGGTCTTTCATGTTTGTGACCCAAAAGCGCACAGAACATTTTTGCCGTAGGCCGTCGCTACAAAAGGCTTCCAAAGCGGAACTGCAAACAGATGAAACTGAGGATGCTGGACTGGGGAAAACAAGACCATGAAGGATGTTTGCTGCCTTGTGCAGAACATTCTGAGGTTTTGCAGAGGACAGAAAATGTTTGGCTTGGGCGCATTTATGGGCTGCAGGAAGATGTGATGTTTTTCTCAGAGGTATCTCCCTGAGACTCAGTGGGAGGTTTTGCTTCTGCTTCTCTGCTTCTTTATTTCTGCTTCTCTTTCTATAATTGGAAAGATTGGAGATGTAGCTCCAGGATCCCAAAAGTTTTGTGCCTCCTCCTTTTCTTGGTCCACCTGAAGGCCAGCCAGGATTCATGCAGCTGCCTCATTACACAAGGTTCATGAAGCGCCCCAACACGGATGTACGATATAAGAGGCACCATCCAGTCTTGGTGCCCAAAGCCCAGCCTCTGAAATCCGTGGGCATGCTAAGCAGAGTGGGCCGTGCCACAAGAAGCACCTCTGTTTGCATTGCCGCTTGTGATGCAGAAAAAGGGTGCCAGTTGTGCAAACTTCATTCCATGAACTCTGGGGGGATGGATTCCTCAGAGCTTCGATGCTTCCCTACCTCCAGCTTCCTGGTATGGTAGATGTTTCCCCAGGGACCTCAGCTGCTTAGGTGCCCCTGTGCGCCTCATTCTGAACAGAATGCCAGAGTGCAAACTAGCAAGCTAGAGCTTTTATAGAGCTCCCCTAGAAGCTGCCAGTGGAGGGAAAGGAAGGAGGGCAAGAAAGGAGGGAGGCTTCCCATCTCTGGTATGACCTCCCCATGGAGGTCCACCTGGCACCAGCCTTGTTATCCCAAACAATATCCACAAAAGGCTGTGTACATGCCCTGGTGTGAAACTATCCTGATTAGAGGGATGAAGCAAGGATGAAGTAAGTACCACGGCGGATGGCTGGTGGTCTTCTCCTTGTCCTGAACTTCTGCCTTCCCTGCAGGAAGTTGTCATTCCCACAGCAATTACACCAGGCACCTCCATTGCTTTTATGGCTGCTCAAAGTCCAGCCCTTGCTTATTCCTTTCCTTCTGTACATCAGGGCTCCAGTGCATTCACATGAAGGCAAACAGAATATGAGAATCAGCTTCATACTTTGCATGTCACAGAGCATGTGATTTAGCCCTGAGGCAAACGGAGCGTCTTTGGTTTGGAGCAGGGCTCTCGGGACGAATTGCTTGCTGTTGGACTGATACAGGGCAAAAGCACTTCTGGCCCCTTAGCAAGCAACCCAGCTCCATCAAGGATGCTGTGCAGTGTGGCTTCCAACCTCGGATCAGAACTCCTTGCAACGATTTATTTATTTTATTTATGTATTAAATCATTTTTATGCCGCCCCATTGCCTTTCTTCACTGCCTTCGCTTGTGCCCATCTGAGCCACTTCCAGAGCCTTTTTCCTGACCATCCTCTCATTCTGTTTCTTCTCTAGTTTCAGCTGCAGTCTTTGCAGATCGTGTGCAGCAGTTTGTGGGCCGAAGAGGACCGATGTTGTGACGTCCCAGCACTGGTAAGGATGGAGAACAGCTGCTTTTCCACGTGCAGCAAATGCTGAGCAATTTATGCTAGTGCATTGCAGTATCACATGGATTTTGTTGACCCTGTTCTCTCTGTGTTTTGTCCGGTGCTTTTCATTCTGTTGACCACTTATTAACAGAACCAAAATCTTTTTTAGGAATGTATGAGAATGTTGTTTCATGTGTGCAAATGTGCATTAGCGCTAACACACATTTGTGGTAATGCAGATTAGAATAAGGGCAAATTTGTGGAACTCAGGCTGGTCTGCTCCGGAATCCGCAAGTCCACTGTCCTAAGATTCTAGATGAACTTTTGGTCTGATCCAGCAGGGCTATTGCCAGGTTCTTAAATCCACTGCATCTCCCCACTTAGCACATCTGCCTGTCTCTGTGCGTTCGCTGTACTTCAGTTGCCCAGATTGGAGTGTTGTTGCTAAAGGAGCTAGCAAGGCACCATCTATGCGCAAGAGGAGGTCTTAGCAAGCTCACAGAACTATGGAGAAACTACTTTAGAGAAGGAATCCTTAAGGTGGGACCCCCCCCCCCCCCCGAACAAAAAATCAGGCACTGGGTCAGTGTACTCAGAATGGGGCATCGTGACCATCAGAGAAGAGGGCAGATCAGCACAAAGCCCATGCTGTGCAGGCAGAAATTCCGATCCCCAGCATCTCCAGGTGGGGCTGGAAGGGCTCCTGGCTGAAACCTTGGGCAGCTGCTGCGAGTCAGAGTTGGAAACACTGGACTCAATGGACTAAGGAGCCACCTCAGCAGGAGATTCTGCCCGACGTTATGTTGCGCTCCCATTTCTGTGTCCGTGCTGAGCTCCTTCTTTCCCTTGCAGAGAGACGAAGAGGCCTGTCCCAGCCTGCTTCCGTCCTGCAGCTGCACTTCAGGGGTCCTAGGCCTGCCAGGACCTCCAGGCGCTCCGGTGAGTGAAGCTTCCCATGAATGTCTCCAGGCAGCTGTATGCGCATGGTCATTCTCCTTAGTGGGGTGGAGAACTATACCTCGCATCCACACCTGAGAGGCATTAGAATGATCCCAGCGTTGCTACTGAATGTCACCGAAATCAGGTGCCCACTTACACACGACCAATGGAAGAGGACATAGAAACATAGAAACAGGGCGAGTCAGAAGGGGTCTCCCGGGCCATCTAGTCTGACCTCCGGCACCAGCCGGCTCTGCTCACGACATGCCCACCATGTGCACGTCCAGCCTATCCTTGAACACCCTCACCGATGGGGCCTCAATGACCTCCCGTGGAAGCCCATTCCACACCCTCGGGGTCCTGACTGTCAGGAAGTGCTTCCTGGCATCTAAATGGAAAAGCAGGTTGCTTACCTGTAACTGATGTTCTTCGAGTGGCCATCTGTGCAGTCACACAAAGACTCATATGTGTGATGCACAGAGGCCACGATGGGAGACCTGGGTTCCCTGAGCTTTGCTCCGTTGGAGCGCATCCTGCCCTCCTCTGCAGGGGAGAACAGGCCTCTACTCATCTCCATGTGAAATGTGACAGAACACCCCTATGCAGACTAAGGATGTGTGAGGAGTCCATTCTGGGGCTGGGAACTGGTTGCTTTCCCTGGGCACAGCTCCTTGAATTCCAGTCCGCTACAGAGAATCCGAGTTCTTGGTGAGCACCCCGAGCATTTGCACAGCACGCATCGGGATTCGAGCCCTCTGCAAGAGCTGTGCAAGCAGCACTGCTCTTCCGCGCCACCTGCGGCAGCCTATGCTTGACATGGAAGAAAGCTGCTGGTTGCACAGCCTCCCCTCCATGAGCATGTGTGGACTTTTGCTAGGCTCAGCTCATGTTGGAAGACCAGGCCAAGTCAGAGAAGCAGCCCAGGATGCTAGAGGGATGGATCGACAGAGTTTCATCGCAACCCTAAGGCAGAAAATGTCCACGTGTTTTTTTATATGCCTACCCGCATGTTTAACGTGCTTATATGCGTGGATGCAGAGGTGATCTGGGGCCAGGTATCCTCCTAAGGGCCTGACATTCTGCTTTCCAGGTGCAAGAAGTTGATGGGAAACTTTCTGGCCTCTCCTCTCTCTTCTTAGGGTCCTTTAGGTTGAAATTGGGCTTGAACTGAGCAACACTTTAAACAGTGTGCTGTTCTCAGTAAAGGTGGACCCATGGCCTTTGGGTCCAACTTTGGACCCAAAGGTGGACCCAATGAACTTCTGAGGTTACAAGAGTTCCTACTCAGGACACAGATGGGAGCAAGACAATGTTCAGCCAAGGCTCGCAACATTTCTTGCATGGGGCATCGCTTGGTGCCTATCCCATTTCACATAAATTGGACTGCCAGCATCATCCTTCTAATGGCAAGGTTTTTCAAGCGATGTGACAAGAATTGCTCATAATTCTTAATGCCCTGTCAATGGATCCAATGGACAACAATTTCCACGCATGCTGGAGCGACGGTCCCTGACACTCTTCTGGTGCTTCCTGAATAGTCAGTCCATCCACATCCACTGCTGAGATTTCAGCTATGATGCCAAGGAGGTAACATTTCTGAAGGAGTGAGAGAAGCAAGTCCATGGTCCTCCCAGTGCAATGCTTTTAACGAAAGTTACATCCTGCTTAACATTGGTAGCCATCATGGAAAATGCCTTCTCTGTTCAGATTTGCCTAATGCCAGTCAGTGAATGAATGCAAAGAAAAGAAAAGAAAAGAGACGGAGTCTCTGTGTAAAATGTCAGCTTGCCAATTCCTTTGTTCCTAGATCCACTGGCAAGGTAGATGCTGAAAACGTATGATGGAACTGGGCCCCTCCCCCACTGCCCTATGCGTCTGTGCTGTCATAGCTGGGGTGGCTACGTGGAAAGGCCTTTAAGCACGAACCTTATTTCCAGTTGATTTTGTTGCAAAAGTGACCGGAATACAGATTAGGTTGATTGGCAAAGTCAGAAGCACTCTGCGAAATGAGAATGGAGCCCCATTACTGTAATAAGCTGTTTTTTCTTTTGTATCTGTGTTCACCTTTAACAGGGTTTCCTGCTTTTAACCTATATGGAGCCTGACAAAGAAGGTATATTTAATGCAGAGAGCTGTTCTTTGTCAAAGTGGGTTGGGTGGTTGGCAGGAGACGCTTTCAGTCACTTTCCCTGCCATGCAAAGTCAGGCCAGGCTCACTTAAGCTGCAGCAGATGGTGGGCACTTTTATTATGGACTGAAATCTCTCTTTCACTTTCTGTAATGTTTGCATCTTTCCAAGTACAAGTCCATTCCATGCCATTTCTGCATCGGTTTGCAATTTTTACTGTTTTTGTTTAAATCCACATGGATAATTGCAGGCATTTTTGTGTGCAAGAAAATCATAGGCATTTTTGTATGCACCTTTTCATAATACACACCTTTTGCCAAGCATGCCTCTAATATATGTTTTTGTGCTCCCAGTTTTCTGTATTGTAAACACGTTTAAAAGCAGTTTTAACTAATGTACACTACTGCTGTTATTATTAGACCAGAAAACTGCATCCCAAAATTTGTACGAGTGTGAAAACCAATGGATAATTGCATTCCAGTTTGCATATTAGTTTACAAAGTGCAAATTAGATCAGTTTGTATTAAGATGTGAACTAAATTAATGTGGCTGATACTGTTTTGCTGAGAGCTTCTGGCTTGGGCCAAGAGTCTATGAACACCAGCCTGAGCCATAGCTGGCTGCTCCTGGGAACAGGACAATAAGATCTTTCTCTAACACAGGACAATTTTTTATGTTAAGAATCCATTTTGTGATTTTTGTTGTGTCTTACGCAGGGCAGTCCTGGAAGGAGAGGACCTCCAGGAGAACAGGGTGAGCCAGGCCCTAAGGTAAGTTGTGATAAACCTTTAAGCCCCAAAGGGACCTTGCAATTAGAAATCAGAAGAACCAGAGAAAATCCATCGCCCTTGCAACTTACCCGACTTCCTTGTTGCACTTGGTCCTGGGCCAGGAAGTGAGCAGCACTGAGATCCAGTCTGCACGGGTACAGAACCTACCAGCAGTCTCTTTGCACAAAATAAGTAATTCTTTTCACAAAGACAAAGCACACAAGTCTCGTGTGTGGAAGCAGGACTCTGCTTGCACAGCAGGTGTGGGAGAGGCGTGTGTGCGAGCCAGCTTCACAGATTCTCTTGGAGGAGGACTGAAGGCAGAGAGAAAACAAGCTGGAGGCCGGGGAGCTGAGCATTTCCCACCCCTACACTGGATTCCTCACACATCCCTCCTTTAGGTATCATGAACTCCCCTGGTAATGTCTGCAGACCCCTGTCATCAAGAGCTGGCCTCTAGTACGAGCATCAATAAATTATCTTCAGGAAAAGCACATGTGTCTAGGTCCTTTCATCCACTGGTAGAATCAAATGATTAATTTTTCCCTTGCTTGCGACTTATCAGGTTGCAGATGGGGCCAAACACTCTTCCCAGAAGTTCTTTGCTTACACAAAACTTTTGCAACCCGCCGGGAGGCCCCACCCGGACCACCTTCTTGAAGATGCTTTGATGCTTTGCTCTTCATGCCATCTTTTACCCTGGGGGGCATTCAAATGACTGCTGCCTGAACCAGTGATGAATGGGTAAACTTCCCCCTCTTTCTGTCCTTATAGGCTCATGCAGTGATGTGTTTATTGACAAAAAAACCTTTGCAGGTAGCCCTCCCCCCGCTCCATTTAACGGCCATAGCAGGGAAAAGGCTGCAACTGAAATATCTCTCCCAGAGGTTTTCTGGGCATGATTTCAGAACATTTCTTTGGCCTTGGAGATGGGCAGGGAGAAGATGTGCAACAGGTTTTCTCATGTTCATGGAAGGGCTGCTGCAAAGAGGCGCTTCTATGCCTCTCTCTGTGACAGCTACCTTTGCACGAGAGCCAGTGTGGCATAAGGGCTTGAGTGCTGGACTGGGACTTCTTCTAGTCCCTCCATAGCCATGAAAAGGATCTCTGGGTGCTGGTCGACTGCAGGCTAAACATGAGTCCGCCGTGCGACGCAGCAGTCAAGAGGGCCAACGCCACCCTTGGTTGCATAGCCAGAAGTGTGGCTTCTAGATCGAGAGACGTGTTACTGGTACTCTGTATGTCTCTGGTGCACCCGCAACCTGAGTGTTGTGTTCAGTTCTGGGCCCCTCATTACACGAGGGATATAGCAAGGTTGGATCAGTGCAGCGTGGGGCCACAAGGATGGTGGCTGGTTTGCAGGATAAGCCAGATGAGGAGAGACTGAGGGAGCTGGGACTTTTCAGCCTTGAGAGGAGGAGACTCAGAGGGGACCTGTTAGCGACATACAGATACGTGAGGGGGTACCATACAGAGGTGGGTCATGACCTGTGTTCCCCTGCAGTGGAGGGCAGGACACGTTCCAATGGAGCAAAGCTCAGGGAAACAAGATTTACGGTGGATACCAGGAAGCACTTCCTAACAGTTAGGACCCCGAAGGTGTGGAATGGTTTCCATGGGAGGTCGTTGAGGCTCCATTGGAGGGTGTTCAAGGATAGGCTGAACATGCACATGGTAGGCATGTCATGAGCAGAGTGGCTGGAGCCAGGGGTCAGACTAGATGGCCCGGGAGACCCTTCTGACTTGCTCTGTTTCTGTTTCTATGAAGCTCACTGGGTAATTTTGGGCAGCCACTGCCTCCCAGCCAAATCTACCTCACAGGACTGTCGTGAGGATAAAAAGAGAGGAGGTATAGGAGAACCTCTGTCTGCCAAGCATCTTTCTTGTCACTGAGTGAAGGTCCCTTCCTGCAGCACTGAGCCGTGATCAGCCCACGCGGTCCCAGGGCTTCTTCCTCATCTTTGTCCTGGAGGTTTGCAGTGCTATCAGGTAGGGGTAGGTGAATCAGTCTATTTCCAGTCCATTATCATTTTCACAATCATTCACACCAGGATGTTTGTGTGAGTGTGTTTTTAAATAATGCATGAAAGTTCATTCTTGCATGCAGTATTTCCACATATGTGCATAGTGTATGCAGACTTTCTTAATATATGCATTTGTATATTCATCAGCCTCAAATATGCACACTGCTGTATGCATTTTCCCCTGATATGCAGATTGTGAGAGACAGCGTGGTATAGTGGCTACAGTGTTGGACTGGGACTCAGGCGATCCGGGTTCGAGTCCCTGCTTGGCCATGGAGCTCAGTGGGTGGCTCTGGGATCATCACTGACTCTCAGACTGACCTACCTCACAGGGTTGTTGGGAAGATTAAAAGGGAGAGGAATATTATGTAAGCCACCGTGGGCTCCTTATTTATTTATTTATTCATTCAAAACTTTTATACCCCATCCACCACTTTGACGTCTTGGGACAGCTCACAACTCTTGGGGTGGCTTATGGTTTCCTTGTAGAAGGAAAGGCATGATATAAATAAAAATCTATAATTATACGGAGCGAAATGACTGAATAAGGCCGTAATTTCTCACCTCTTTAGACAGAAAAAAGAATTCTTGGTCTGGCCTACCTCTAAACGGATAAGGGAGCTAAGAAGAAATGAGGAAGTCCATTTAATCAGGTCCCAGAGAGTGTCAAAGAGGGACTAAAAACTGAATTTTATATTATTTGTATGTGTTGAACTTTGGTAGGTTCACATCACTGATGCATTCTATTCCCCATGGCATGTTAACTTCCATGCCTTTGGCCAAAGGTTATGTAGTTTATACAGTTCCAACATTGTGATTCCAGGAAATAGAAAGGAAAGCTCAAGAAATTCATCAAGCACATGCATGGCTCTAGGGGAGGGCTCTGAAACACAGAGTAGCAGATTTTTTTTCTAATCCAAAGGCTGAGAAGGATGGGGAAGGTTGGGCTGCCCGTGAAGGGAGAGTCCACTGTGAATTTAAAATGCCTAAAACCAACATCATTGCTCCTTTGCTCCCACATCTATTACTATTGGAAAAGATTTTCCATTTTGCTCTACCAAAATGCCAGGTTGTCCACTACGAAGTACTTCTGAGCATCTGGATGAATGTCTCTGTGAATTTGTATTAGATGTTGCATTGCTGCTTTAGGGTTGCAGGACAGATTTTTCTCCCCTTGAATCAGTGTGACGGCCACAGAAACGAACTAGCTTTCTGCTATAGATCAGGAGATGAAAAGCACCCAGAACCTTGATGTGAAATGTTGAAAGCTTTGGGAAATGTTGAAATCTGCCACCCTGACTTTGGCAGTTCGTGCACCATCCTTTCACATGTGGAAGTCTGACAAACTGACACACACAAAAGGAGATGCAGCAAAATGTAGAGTTGGACTTCTCCCATCGTTTCTTTTCGACAGAGCCTCTTAAGGGCTGGGGAGTGGGAGATGAGAAATAAAAAAAAAAAAAACCCTCCTTGCCAAGCATTTCAAGCAGAAGCCTGATCCTGGCTCAGTTACCCTTGCTGGGCTCCAGGGTGGCCACTGGGATTTGACCTGCCATCTTCTGACTGGACCACCTTCGAGAAGAGGGTGGAAGCCACCTAAGATGCAGTAGAGGCATCTTGGCAAGGTGCCGGAGGACAGAGTGGCCTGCCCTGGTGCTTCTAAGGCTGGGGTTCAGAGCCCCAGGCATTGTCAGTCTGACTCTCCAAGGGTCTGCAGATGGCCTCTTTCTCCTGACTACCACCTTTTTGCTGCCTTTTAGTCTTTTATGCGGGTCTGTTCAACAGCATTGAGTGCCTCTCCTGGCACGAAGAGCTTTAAACTAAAATACGCTACTATTTGAGGGCCTGATCCCATCGCTCAGGCCCCAGCCACTGCTGGAATGCAGCATGCGAGAATTTGTCTGACATAGAAATCAGCTCTTGGGATAAAGGCATTTCTGCACCCCTGTTCTAAGTTAGGCTGTTCCATAGGGATGCGGAGGAATCCATTCTGGGGGTGGGAATCCATCGAAGTCCCTCGGCTCAGCTCCCCATACTCCAGCCTGCCTCCTCATGGCACTGAGTCTGAGCTTCTGGTAAGTGGATCCAGCACTGCTTCACTGTGCACCAGGAATCGAGATTTGCACGCCTGCTGCACAAGCAGCGTCCCTCTTCCACGTCTCAAGCTGAAGCCTTTGTCTGCGCAGCTGCACCTAACGTGGGAGAGGGTTGCCAGTGGCATGGCCTCCATTTTGTGAGCGTTGGCAGACTTCCTCCAGTTTGGCTTGTTTCCAAGACTGGGTTGAGCACAAGAAGTCTACGAATTCTGGAGGGACCAATTCCACTGGGTTTCATCCCAACCCCACAAGTCTGGTGGGTTCTGTACTTAATAATAGGGCTTTCATCCTGCCTAATGCAGCAATTTGGACAAGGTTTGTGGAGAAAAAAAGCAGAAACACCTCTGGAAAATAATACATCCATTCCACTGGTTGCCAGACAATACTGGCTCAAAGGTTGCAATATTGGATCTGACTTTTCAAGGCCTTTATCTTGGATGATGCCTCTCCCTATCTGATCTGCACACTTCCTCAGGTTCAGAATAACAGGAAGTGATCAGCACTGAGATCTGTCTTCCCAACACATTATCATCAAATAATGCAGGATGATTTGGGTATGGAATGTTGTAAAATGTCGTACACACTCCAGATGTTTGGAATTTGATTTGCAAGTATCATAAGATCTGAACAGCTTGCTGATTTCTATCCTATGGTGCATCTTTACCGAGCTGGGCATTTGCAAAGAAGGTTTGGGCTGGCATTTTGAGAATCTAGAAGATACTGATATTCAGATTAATATCGTCTCTTTTGTCTTGTCCTTGGGGGGCTCTAGGGTGAGCCGGGTCCACCTGGGCAAGTTGGACCTGAAGGTCCAGGGGGACAGCAAGGGACACCAGGTTCCCAGGGACTGGCTGTGCAGGGCCCCATTGTAAGTAACGCCAGTTTATTTCTTTTCCCTCTGGCTAACACACCCTGCTGCAGAGCAGGGCTCTCCGGCATGAAATGTGCCGATGAGCACATCTGCAGCTCCAGTTCTGATGGAGCCCACCCCTCCGTTGCCACCCCTACTCCTGCCCCAGAGGCTGTGGAACCTCAGTCCTGGATGATTCCAGCCTTCTCCCCCCCTTTACTGCCTTCCATCCACTGTTTTTCCTGGCTTTTGCACAATCTGTTCCCCTTTCTAAGAGGCTGAAATGTCTCTCCTAAATCTTAGTGATTGACACCAAGAGCATTAAGCTGATATATGCTGGATGGAGGGGGTGCTGTTTGGCACTTTGGCCCCATTCCTCCTGCCCTTGACCTGCTCCGTTCTGCAATGCAGCTTCCAAAAGTATCTCCGAAATTGATTCACCCTTAAGGCTTAAAGAAGTCTAACTCCTCTACCCTAAAACTGGCTTTTCAGGAGAAGGAACGTGGTGGAGATGGGCAGTGGTTACTTTCTATTCTTTCTTTCTAATCAGCAAGTGTCTTCATTGCTGGGGACTGGAATGTGGCCTACAAGTCCCAGAATCCACAGCAGGAAACACAAAGCTCCATGCTTTGTTTCTGCTCAGCAGAAAAGTTGTTCAACTGAGACCTGGGAGGGGGTGCTACCAGCTCGTCCTTCTCCACTGCCCCAAAGATGAATTTTGGGGAAGAGGAGGAAGAAGTAATGGATGGTCCATGCTTGACAGAGAAGCTGAAAAACCACAATCTGGACAGTATATACCAAAATGTATATTCTGTAATGTTGTGCTTATATTCTAATTCAAGGGACCCCCAGGCATCAAAGGAGACAAAGGCGACAATGGCAGCCCAGGGTTGCAGGTAACTTCTCCACTTACACCTTCTGACTTCTTTGTTTTCCAGTGATCTGCATCATTGCATGGAGGTTTTTTTTGAGCAAGGTATTCCGTCATCTCTGGCACCTTTCTAGCTCCACTTTGAAATGGCCATTCTTCTGACAGGGATATCCCCTTGCAGTCCTTTTATGGGCTTTGCATTCCCCTTCTTCTCTGGCACTGGGGTCTGGCAAACATTAATTATCTGGAGTCTCAGAGCTGTTTTAGAAGGTCAGGGAAAAAATAGGGAGATTTTACCGATAGATAAGATACTTTAAAGAGAAAGAAAAAAGAACTTGCATTGACCTTGACCGAGGATGAAGGGCCCACGATGGAAATGGAAACTCACACAACTCAACAGCCCAAGTTCCTTGCTCGCTTCTCCAAGATTCTTCAGAATGGAAAGGACAAGGTAGCACTGTTGGAAGAAAGGAAAAGGACTTATTTCCGTGCGTTCATGCATAAGAGGGGCCTGCTCTTCAGTCTTTAGGGCAAATGCAGTTCAAGAAAGCAGGTCTGAAGCATGTTGCGGAGGGAACCCAACTTCAAGTATATGCTGATGGGATCTGAGCAAGAGATCTTGGGGTAGGATGGACAGCTTGATGGAAATGTTCACCCGGTGCTCAGCTCCTGGGAAGAAAGCAAACTCCCTGCTAGGCATAATTAGGAAATTGTACTTCCCTTATACAAATCTTGGGTGCGGCCACATTTGGAATATCATGCTCAGTTCTGGTTGCCTTACCTAAAAAAAGGACATTATTGAGGTGGAAAAGGTACAGAGAAGGGCAACCAAAATGATCAGGGGCTGGAACAGCAATCCTATGAGGAACGGCTACAACAACTGAGACTAATCCGCTTAGAAAAAAAGAAAGTAAAAGGGGACATGAAAGAGGTGTTTAAAATAATGCACGGTGTGGAGAAAGTAGCAAGGGAAACATTTTTCTCCCTCTCCCGTAACAATCAAACTGAGGGTGATTCCATGAAACTGATTGGTGGAAAGTTTAGGACAGATCAAGGGAAATATTTCTTCACACTGCATATAGTTAAATTGTGGAATTCACCACCATGGGAAGTGGTCATGGCCACCAATCTGGATGGCTTTAAAAGGGGACTGGACAGATTAATGAGGGAGGAGGCCATTAGTGGCTGGATGAGCTGCATTGCTCCATCATGGGAAGAATTCTGAATAGCAGTTCTCTTTGCAGGGCATGATGGGTCCCCGGGGAGCTCCAGGGAAAGATGGAATTCAAGGATCAAAGGTAAAAAAGTGGGCAGGGTAATTCCTCCCCATGCCCACAGGTGATCTAAGTAACCAGTTTAAAGTGGATATGTGAGGAATCAGATAGAGGGTGACCATCAGATGGATTTTTGTTCCTGATCCTCCTGCATTGCTAAAAGGGAGGTAAGATTGGTCATTTTCAAGCAAAGTGTTTTGTACTTTGCCATGTAGTTGCTGGTGTCTTATTTCAATTCCATAACCAGAATGGTCAGGGATGTGGGAAGTCATAACTCAAATCCAGTTACAGGCTGGGGAAGACTGAAAAATGCCACCAGAATCTTTTTTTTTTTTTTTTCCTTTATCTTTTGGCAGTATTATCCTATGTTTTTTGAGATGGAGAGTTCAAACCAAGTACTGTTGCTTGGTTCTTTCTTCTGAGGGGGATGGTGCCATATAATTCTCTGGGATTGACTGGTTGCGTTCTTGTTTTGCAATCATTCCGTACAAATGTTGCAATGGCCCCAGCTTGCCTGAGTCCTCAGGGAGACTGTTCATCAAAGCCCTGGTTGGTTTTGAGCCCCCAATGGAGGCACTCATCCATCCTTAAGCTGAGTGCATTTTGGACCCCTCTCCTGCCTGATCCTTACTCTTTCCCTTTCTGTTTTGACTTGGTTTACAGGGAGTCCGAGGACTCGAAGGCACAGCTGGGCCTCCAGGACCCCCAGGGCCGAGGGTGAGTCATGTGCAATAGAGCATTTCCATGCTGAAGGCTTGCTCCCAGGAATAGAGTGAACCGAGTTCCCGTGGGTTAGAAGGCAGAGGCAAAAACGGAGAGCACACTTCAAGCTTTTATCACCAATGGGCAAATGTAACAGTTTCCTTTGGCAGCCACTTCGCAAGAGCTAGAAAGCCACCTGGTCCCAATCCCAGGGGCATCTCCCGGAAGCCAAGATTTGCATCCAGCCGACACCAGAGCATGGCTCTGTTTCTTGGGGTGTTTCTCTTCCATTAGATGAGGCAGGGGTACAAAGTAAAGGGAACATGGGGTGCGGGGAGGGGAGCAAAGACATCTCACTAGCAAGGAGTCAAGAAACCGAGCCAGTTTTAAAAGCCCAGTGTGATATACCAGAATAAATTGAAAAAATATAAATTCATGCATTTTAAAAGCATTTGTGCTTGTTGCTTTTAAACACCCCATGTTTTTCTTGTCAACATTTTGTTGACAACAAGACTTAAAAAATATGCATATATAACATACAAAGAATTTCCAGCTATCTCATCCTCACTAGCATAACCCGAAGCTTATCTCTGAAGCGTTTATTTTATTTTAGTTATACTTAGCAACAAGCCATGGTATACAAACATAATTGGCAGCTGACTGTCTTTATAGTATGATGGTCTTGTTTTGTAAAGGCATCTTTATTTTGGCCTTTTGAAGAGGAGTGTCTCTGGATATTCTCACCTCCCTTTTTATCCTCACAACAATCCTGTAAAGTTGTTCTCCTAGAAGAAAGACAGAGACAAGGAAGGGTGAGGAAGAGAGAGAAGAAAAGAATCAGAAGCAAAATGGAAAAGAGTGGGAGAGAAGAGAAAAAGATCAAAGAAATAGCAAAGGAGAAGATAGACTAAAAAGAAAAAGTGTGTGTGTGAGAGAGGGAGGGAATCTGAACAAATACTTGGATTGTGCAACAAAGGCATTGAAAACAGAAAGAGATAAAACAGCCAATAGTACCATTCTTGGATATACAGTTGTGACCTAGCAACCTACCCCTAAATTGTGTAGGAAAAGAAGCAAGCCTGACTCATCATGCACCATGTAGCCTTAATATTTTCCTGGCTGCTTGGGCCACTGATAGGAACCTGGGAGGCCTAATTACTGCCCTGGTGCTTTTTCAAATTCATTTCCCTGATTTCCCCGGAGTGTCAAGCAGTGTTGAAAGTGCATCGCCTGACCTCTTCCACAGTTGCGGCTCTTCATTCCTGTCTGCAGGGTTTCCAAGGCATAGCAGGTGCCCGAGGAAGCGCTGGGGAGAAGGGTCCCCCCGGAGAGGTTGGACCGACTGTAAGTCTCTGCTCTTCATTCAGCGCTGACTGTATTCAAAGCCTGGCGTTTTCAGCTCAGGGCAACCAGCACGTAGTTACCTGCCCCAGGCCACGGGGATGTGGCAGGCTGCAGGTCAAAGCAACCTGATGAGGAAAGAGCCCTTGCCTGCAAGATTGGCCCTGCCATTTTTCACAGTTGTGAGATTTCCTCCATTGTGCATCTGTATCCTCATCAGAGTCTGCATTTGTTATGCTCTTGTGTATCATCCCGCACTTAGGAGCACAGCGATGTGATTTAATTGTGCGTTGGCAAGCACAGAGATCTGCTTCATTTACCTCTGAAGTTCTGAGATGCATTCTGCAAGGAGAGTACTTGTGCAATGTACCGAGCAACCATAAAAACAATATAAAACCATGCAAACTCGAGAGTAAAAACAAACCAAAAAGTTAGAATTACTTCATGTGTACAGAAGACCAATCTGTTGTCAGCTTTGGCAGTTGCTATGTGGATTCATGGTTGCACAGTGCATGAACAACTGTTTAACTGTCCATGAATGGGGGCTTGGAGGTATATAGTCTGTTGTTTTTCCATCAAGATGATGCTCTGAGTATTCCTAAGTGGTCTCATATGCAGGCACTAACTAAATCAGATTGGACGTGCTTAGCAATGTACATTTGCCTATTTATTTTTTGCAAAATGTCATTGTCCAAATTGTGCTATATAAAGGCTTCAGTTATACTTTGGACTAAGAGTTCTCACCCCAGAAGCCTTTGCAGAATGGTCATCAATGCCCCAAAGAAGAAATACCACTTATGGAGTAAAAACTTATGGAAAACTTTGAACCCACTTTGGCATCCACCTCTAGGGGCTTGTGTGAGTTCTGCATGATTTTTTTCTGAAGAGTAACAGAAGCAAGCAGCAATAATAATTGCCTTTTGCCTTGTTTTCTTCTGCAGGGGCTGCCTGGTCCAAAAGGAGAGAGAGGAGAGAAAGTGAGTCGCTTTGGTGGTGGTCTTCTCCTCCCCCTCCCCCCCTCCTCCTCCTCCTCCTTCCAGCACTTCCAAGAAAGCTACACTAAACTAGTGTAGGATACACTGTGACTATATCAGGAGTTGGTATCAAAGTTTGCAATTGGCTGGTTCCACCATCACCATCACCGTAATTGGCTTTTAACCCCTCAGAAACTGCAGTGCAATTTCCCAGCGTCCCCTTCTCTCACTTTAGGGATGGGGGGATTTGCAATATTTGAGCTCAGTGAGGTGTTTCAGATTTTGTCCTGTCTTGCTTCACCCCATTTGAACACGAGCAGTTCTTGGCAGTGCATTTTTCCCTGATCAAAAATTAGCATTGCCCACAGTCCGGAAAACTATGAAAATTTCCCCGGGGTTGCATTCCTGCTCGTGCTCGTGTTCAGTGCTGCAAGCAGAATGTGTTCTCATGATTTGCAAACAAGAATGAAATTATCAGAGACCTGCATCTCTTCCTTTACTGCTAGCTAGGGATGGGGTTGAAATTAATTCAGTTTACATTTTAATGTGAACTTATCTAATTTTGCTAGTTTGACGCAATACATGGACCAAAGCATAATTATCCTTCAAATTTTACATCTATGGATTTTTCAATGTGGTTTTCCAATAAAAAATGTATATTAGTGAAAATAAAATGAGTTATTTTAGGAACACTTCCTGCAATGTAGTGTTTTGGGGAAACTGCATAAAAATCCATGTATTTAGAGAAATGTGCAGAAAAAGTCACAAATTATTATGCAGACCTTTAAAAACAAATCTCAGCATTCAGAAGAAAAAAGCTAAACTGAACAGTAGAAAAATTCTCAAAGTTCAGGGCAAATGAAACAAAAGACTGGAAAATGAGAAAGTGACAAATTCTCTCACTGTTTGTGCTAACACAGACCTTGAGTCAACTAATTCCTTTCCGAAGGATGTGGTACATGTTTCAGGCCCAGGAAAGATATTTTTTTCCCAGATATTAGATCTTACAAAATTATGACTACCAAACTGAGAAAATGTTTTCTGCTGAGTGGGTTTTCAATTTTTGAAAAGTATAGATGTTCAAGACCACTCAGTATGGATGTTCCTCCACCACCTCCAATATTTTTCCGGTATCTATTTGTGATAGATCTGACTTCAAAGTCACCAAAATTCAGACATTTTTGAGAATGGAATGAGACTGCTAGCACCTTCTCCAATTTAGTGTCCTCCAGACGTGTTAGATTATAATGCCTATTACCCATGCTCAGCATGGCCAGTGGGGTGATAGGAATAGTAGTCCAACCCAGCAGGGGAGAGATCTGGAAGACATGTATTCCTCAGCTTCTTACAATTGCTTCAAGGTAAGCTGAGCATCCATTTTTGACTGACTGGGTTTTAAACTTTTGCTAGATTCTCTCTGCAGGTATTACCAGGACCAGGTAGAAAGCTTTCTGTCAAGTTCACCAACATTTCATTAGTGTTTGCTTTCTGATGTCTTTGTGATGCAAAAGCATTTTTCATGTTTATGTCCTGGACACCTTGCCCACTTTTTGTTTAATTTTCTGTGAAGGCTGCATCTTTAAAAATCACACTGTTTAATCCAGGAATTAATTTTCATGATCCTATGAGCTATTCTGGATGATAACAGTACTTATTTTCAAATTGTTTTCTGCATTTTGATTACTTTGATATTAGCCACAGGATAGATCAATAGATAATAGTTGCATGTCACTTCTATCAGAGTATGGTTCTTCAATTATAAAGTAACTCCCAGTGGAACTAAGCATTCCCTACCTATTCAGATCTAATGCATCAGAAGAGCCATATTTGTTTCCCTTATTATAATCCTCAGAAGTCTCTTCAGAATCCATCTATGGATGCAATTGTGCTGAGATTTTCTCTTGCCTTAAAGCAATTTGTGGGACTAACTGGAAGGAATTACTGATGTTTTAAATTAGCCCGTTGGCCTTGCCAAAGTTCAGAGGATGAGAGATAAAGAGATAAAGGTTGGAAATAAATATATATGATTCATTGTGTGATACTTAATGCTAATGAAAACCCTGCCTTGTCTGCGTCCATCCATTGGTGGAGGAGATTGTACAAATATTGGGTTTGATGCAGCTTCTTTCTGTGTTGATGGAAGTGGACTTCCCCGCCTCCTTCTCCCTGTGGGAGCACCTCCAGACCCGAGAAACCCCTACAGAGAGTCAGGAGACCCTGCCAAATGAGGCGAGCTGTGGAAGGGCATGGGGAGAGATTTCCAGGAAAGCAATAAGGGTGGAGTGTCTGTATGAAAGACTGAGGGTTTCTGAGATGGGCACTATCACCCATCTCCGCTTCTTTGGTGGGCGGAATGTCTACTGCATGTGGCAGGTGCTGGGGGACGTGCAAACTGCACTTCTGCCTTACTAAGTTCTGACTTGTTTATTTCTGTGCTTCATCCCTCAAATCTAAATGCCACTTTCTTAAAAGTGTCTTCAAAGCAATGAACGTACAGCCTCCGGCCATCAAAACAATACTGTATCACCACAAAGCTAATCATAAAGATACAGAGCACGATAAAGCTGTACGTTCTACTGTATGCTACAGAGCGTGGCTGACTGGGGCAGACTTCAGGGAAAGCGTGCAGGAAGAGTTGGGTCTGGAGGTGACACAGGAATGTCAGAAGTGTGCAGGACAATCTAATGGCAGCTGGATGCACAGAAGGAATGGATGACACTGAGAAACTCACGGAACTCACGGTGCTTGTGCTTGGTTGGCTTTTGACACCTCACCAACTGGGGAACCAAACGTGGTCCAAGCCATGGGTTTTTCACAGCTTCTGTTTTTAAACTGGGATGCAATTCCTCTCCTCTCCTCTCCTCTCCTCTCCTCTCCTCTCCCGCCCCCCTCTCTCTCAAGCCTAGGAGATTTGCAAAAGCTTGGTCTCAGTTTGCTTAAATCCTTACTTGAATTCATGCAAATTGTGGCCAGAATTCACACAATTCCCATTTTGGCTATCCACGGCTGCACACACCAGTTGCTGGGGAGCTGGGCAGGAGGAGGTCTTGCACCCGTCCTGCCGGAGGGACCCTGTGGGCAGCTGGTTTGCCCCCACGTGAGTGGAGTGCTGGTCTGGATGGACTCTTACGTTCTTCATAGGCACTCACTCTCTTTCCCAGTGGATCAGTACAAAATACTGCTTGACCTGCACATTCTTCCTTAAATAGAAATGTGCGTATTTTGTTTGTACCAGGAGCATTAAATGCTAAGTCTTTGCAATATTCCCAGAATGGGTGGCCCTTGTCAGACCAAGGGATGAAATTCTTCATTCTTTTCAATGACACTCAAGCTATTTCTTCCCTGTTCTCCCTGAAATATCATCTGCCATTTAGCTGTGCTGTTTTCTACATTCTCTTTCCTTCTCCAGGCCATTCCATTTCTTATGTGCACTGTAGGTTACAATAAAAAAAAGATAGAGCATAGAGATAGTAAATGTTACCTTTCCATTTCAAACATATTTAAAACGCATACAAAAATTCATTCCAAGTAGAAGGTAATGTCTGATCTCTCCCACTGTCAGGAATCTTTCAAATTTCCCAAGGAGACACACCTTCGGTCTTTCATGGGTCTTTAGAAAAAGAGAGGATTTAGTTATGACACATTCTGTGAGCAGAACCAATTCAGATGTTCAGAAAGAGCAGGCTACCCCTTCTGCTCTGAAAGCTATCTTTTCAAAAAGACGCCAAATTCATTTGGGGGTGGGGTGATGCCAAATGTTCCCCTAATTTACCATTAGCCATATATTAGCCATGCATATTTATGCAGCTATATGCATAGATATATTCTCTTCCCCCTTCCACAAGAAAGAATGCTACTAAACTCTGGGATTTTTATGCTGGCTGAAACCGTAATGAATGAAACACATGACAGGTTCTTTGTAGCTCACCTTCTTCCTGTTGCTGGAGCCGGAGCTAGCAAATTACTTTCTGCCTCTGGGTTGGTCCTGTGCTACGTTTGCCTTGTGTATAGAGCGCTTTTTAATCCTCTCTTCCCCTCAGGGTGAGGCACAGTCCTTAACTACAATCTATCACCTAGTCCATCAGGCCTGTGAGCGCCTGATTCAGTGTAAGTACAACCTCTCCATCGGCTGGAATAATAAACCTGCATCTCAAGGGAGCATCCCTTCTGTGAGCAGGTGGACCTCTGTTGCTACATTGTGAGGTTGCTGAAATTAGCAGGATCCTCCCCAGTCATGGATCTCTCCACACTGATGTGGGAGCCTTGCATGAAAGCCATTCTGCTCTGGACCCAGACCAGATTAAACTGAAGGGTTTCATAGGTGAAGCACTTTCCCTGCCATGCCAGAGTTACACCTGGAGTCGTACTCTCCCCAAGAAGCTGAATTCACCTAAGTATGTCTTTCTCCAGAGAAGTTTTAATTCTGGAATGTGTGAATTGCGTGCCTTCAGCAGAATCCACCCCTTCTGGCTTTGTGTGTTCATTGCAGAAACTTGCATTTGCCTGGCTCATGTCAGTGCAATGCACACAGACTGCAATTTCCTCAAAAGTTACTCTGTAGCTCAGAAGGGAAGGGAGATTCTGCACTAACAGTGAGAATGCATAGATCTGGCTGTGACAAAAAATGAGGCCGCTAAAATGATGAGGAGCAGCTCCCTTTGAGGAAAACAAGACTTTTGAGGAGAAACTTGGTTGAGGAATAAAGACTGACGCATAGGGTAGAGAAAGTGGGAAAGCAGGCACAATTCCCTCTCCCATTATACCAGAACCCAAAGGAGGTCCACTTCATCTAGCTGTGATGCTGCGCACCAATTTGCGTGGCTTTAACAGGGGACTGGAGAAATTCACGGAGAAGGCCATCCAAGGCTACAGTTCTGATGGCTTCTTAGTACCTCTGGCATCAGAATGATATGCCTGGGGAACACGGATAGGAAGCTGGTATTGCATACATGACCTGCTTGCGGGTTGCCTACAGTGGGTGGCATCCTGCACTAGACAGGCCTTTGCGTCTGATCCATCATGGACCTTCTTAGGGTCTTATTTCTTTCCTTTTCTTACCCTTCAGCTCATGTGCTGAAGTTTGACTCCTTCATCCATGAGCATTCCCGGAAGCCTGTTCCCATCTGGGAGGACAAGGTGAAGGTTGGCGAGCCTGGGCCTCCAGGTCTACCTGGGCCCCCTGGCATGAAAGGAGAAAGAGGAGAAGTTGGAATGCCCGGTCAACCAGGCCGAGATGGATATCCAGGAGAACGAGGTAAAAGGTCTCTGCTTGCCTTTACACAGGAGAGATACGATATTCCTTCCTCCCACCCCATGTGCTGCTGCACAGTTGTGCGTGTACAAACAAGGCTCATGTTTGCAGGCTTGGAAACTCGATGGGCTCAGGATGCTTGCCTCTCAGATGTTAATGTGACAACTCTTGTAATTTGCTCCTAGCTTTTGTTAAGCCAAAGATAAATAGCAAGACAACTCCTGTAACATTATGATGTGGCCAGTGGCTATTTGGAGGCTTGTAAAAGCAGAGCCAGTATTTAAACTGAACTGGTTATTATCACATTGCATTCAAATTGCATCTTTTTCATCTTGTGAGGAAACCAAGTTGGCTGACATAGCTCACAACAACATCTTCACAACAACAGCTCTTTGAGGTAGGATTGGCTAATAGTCTGTGGCTGACCCAAAGTCACCCTGTGAGTTTCATAGCTAAGTGGGACTTGAACCTGGATCTCTCAGGTCCCTAGTTCAGACTTCTCACCACCGCACCTCAGTGGTTAGCATGGATGCTGAGACTAGCCTTGATTCCAGGCATTCTTCAGTTCAAACCTTACCTCTGGGCAGAGCTTGCGAAGTGCTGTTTATTGTGTGTGTGTGTGTGTGTGGCTGGATGGGAAAGCTCCCTATTCAGTCTTTCTGTGAAGCAATATTATTCACCTACCTTTGTTGTTGCTAGTTGCGAAGTCATGTCCAACCCATCGCGACCCCATGGACAACATTCCTCCAGGCCTTCCTGTCCTCCACCATCCCCGGAGTCCACTCAAGCTCACACCAACTGCTTCAGTGACTCCATCCGGCCACCTCATTCTCTGCCGTCCCCTTCTTCTTTGGCCATCTATTGTTCCCAGCATCAGGTTCTTCTCCAGGGAGTCCTTCCTTCTCATGAGGTGGCCAAAGTATTTGAGTTTCATCTTCAGGATCTGGCCTTCTAAAGAGCAGTCAGGGTCGATCTCCTCTAGGACTGACCGGTTTGATCACCTTGCTGTCCAAGGGACTCGCAGGAGTCTCCTCCAGCATCACCTACCTTAGGGTTGCTATAAAAACAGTAATAAGTGAACGCATGTGAAATCTATTGATCCCTCTAAAAGTGCAATGCCAGTGCCAGTCGGTGGCAAGTTAGCATTTGGAAGCAAATCATCTGGTTTGGAAGGAAGCCCTAATTTGTAATGGGCCATAATATTTCATGCCCCGCTTGTGGAAGGTCCTAGCTTGAATTTCTGGCATCTCCAGGTAGGACCTGGGAATATGCCTATCAGAACCTTTAGAGAGAAACATCTAGAGAAAGTCAGACCTCCAGGTTTGCCCGCAAGACCACCCCTCTGTCCCCCCCCCCATTCCAGCAACCGCTAATCCTTTGATGGTATCCCAACTTTTGCACAGTGTTCCCCCACACCCTGTTTACAATGCCTCTCTGAAGACATAGCTCCTTGCTGGCAGTAAGAGTGTGATGGCAAACCTGGCTGGTATTTGTGGCTATTTCTACCTCCCCACCTTGCCTTTGGCCTTCTCCCCCAGGAACATGCTTCCAAGTGTGTCTTTGAATGGAATTTGGTCCGTGGGCCAAAAGTGGTTCTGCTCCCTGCTCTAGACAGTGCTGAGTGAAATGGACCAATGGCCTGGCTTGGCATACGGCAGTTTCCTATAAGAGAGAGGAGTCTTCAAGTGGAAGGCTGGCCACCTTTCCATGTGGATGCTGCAGAAAGAGGGCTTTCTGCACTGGGGAAGAGCTGTGGCCAAACTCCTGGCCTCCTGGACCATGAAGAATCACGTTCTATTATCCGAACGGGCCTTTGTCAAGATGTCCAATAGGGTTTTTTTCCCTTCAACATAGCAAAGGGTGACATGAAAAGAAGCTTATCACACAATTCAGCAGGCAAACACATGCCCCTTGGTTTTATTTTTGGACCGGCTCCCTTCGAAGTGGCAGAGGAGGGGAAAAAAACCCTCTAGCTTATCTCCCTGCCCTCTTGGCCCAGAACGAAAAGCTGTCTTGTTTTGTGAGGGAAGGCGTCTCCAGAAGTCTTTGTTTTATTGCAAATGCGGAGTCATTCCAGCAGCTCCTTTGGGTTTCATGTAAGGATTTAGCCTCCATCTGTTCCAGGACCGCTGCCCTTGAAAACTGCTCCAGGAGGGTGCAAGCAGCACTATCATTAGCACCAAAGAGAGAATGAACAAGCTCTCTTTGGCCATGGACAGACAGTTGTGCCTCCTCCATCCGTGATAGATTCACTTCTTGTTGTAGCCAGAAGTCAAAGTTAGGAGTTTAATTGGCAGACGTCAGAAAGTAGTTCAGACACCGACCTGAATCTGTCATCCTGGTTTTTCCTTCTTGCCCCTTCTGATAGTTTAGTAGCTCCTGAAGTTGCTTGCAGACACAACTGATTAGATGGACGCCCCTACACGAAGCATTTCCAACCAAGCTTGGAGCTTTGTGATCTTACAGAAGAAGGTGGTGATACTGGGCTGGCACTTTGTCAGATGAGAACTTCATAAATGCTTGCTGACCTTGGAGATTATTGCCCCTTTGAAAGAAGTCTGTCCAGCAGGAAGGGATGGAGATCTGGCACTTCCCAATTAATTCAAAGAGGCTAGCAGATGGAGTGGGTTTTATTTTTTGGGCCCGATAATGGCAAAATGTTACAGGGAACAGAGAGAGAGAGAGGAGGGTGGGAGAGAATCAAACATGCTGGAAAGCAAATTGACTGAGCTGGAAACATGGTAAGAATTATTTAAGGGATGCAGTATAGATAATAAGCTGAAATGAGTTCCACAGGGTGATTCTGCAATGAAAAAGCCCAGAGCTGTTTTAGGAAACACGAACAAAAATTATCTCCCTGATGGCCTCCTGGGTTTTACCCTGACTGTACGTGGTCCCTGTGATGAGAGAGCGGCGGCATTTTGGTGGGCTGCATATCTCAGCCTAGAAAAGCTTACCAGGCATGGCTTAGGAAGCCAGCCTATGTACGCTTGGCCTAGAGGCAGGATGGGCACTTGCAAATGGATGGAATTGGGAAATATTATCTATCCCAGATGGATAGAATTGGGAAATATGATGACCCCACTACAATTTTTTTAGACGCTACAGAATTTTAAACTAGGAGCAGATAAAAAGAAGCCCACATTTCAAAGATGCTTTTCTCCTAGTTTTCATGATGGCTGGAACTTCAGTACTTGGGAGACAACATTTGTTCAATCTTTGATACTTCCAAGTGAGACACATCCAGGCCAGAGTACATGACACAGGAGGGATCCTTTATATGATCTTCTTACAGGTCCTCGCTTTTCTTTCTTTAGAGGCTCCCACAGAGCCCCAAATTGGAGGAGGGACACTGGACTGTGATGTGGGCCATTTACACGGCCTCCGTAGGATATTTCTATTCAGATTCCCCATGTCCTGTGCCTCCAAGGCAGCAGCCACCTACATTATATTATTATTATTATTATTATTATTATTATTATTATTATTATTATTATTACATTTTATACTGCCCATAGCCAAAGCTCTCTAGGCAGTTGACAGCAATAATCATAGAATCATACACTCAAGTCACCCATCCCACTTCTGCCCAGGCCTGACCCTGCTGAGCTTCCAAGATTAGGCAGGATCAGGCACTTCAGGCTACATGGAAGCTACATGTTATACCCCACTTCCCCCTCAATATCAAGGCACCCACAGCTACTAGTCCTGATGACTCTAGGCTACCTCCAGGATTAGAAGCAGTATGACTCTGTACACCAGTGGCTGGGGAACATGGGTGTTGGGCAGATGCCATGGCACTCACGGCATCCCTTGAGCAGCTGGTTGGGCACTGTGTGAACAGATTGGTGTACCAGGTGGACCCTTGTTCTGGCCCAACAGAGCTCTTTGAACATTACTGTAACTTCTAGAAGAGGATTAGTAATGAGAACTACACAGAAGAGCTGTTTTCTTTCTTCTCCCACAGGTGCTCCTGGACCCAAGGGGGAGAAAGGTTTTCCAGGACCAAATCAGGAAGGCTCTCAAGGACCTAAAGGACGAACAGGTGCAGTAAATGTGCCACTGGTATCTAGACAGTGAAGACTCTTCTCTGTCTGGGTCCTTCACAAAGGCAGCTTTCCATGGCTTCCCTGCCTTTTGAGGAAATTATGCTGGTAATAACCAGTGTGAACATGGAGGAATCACCTGGTCCAGGTGAATTTGCAGCTGAGTGGTGTAAAACATCTTCCAGCTTCTCAGTTCCCAAGCTTTATCATGTGTATAACTCTATTTTTGAATCAAGTGTTCATTATACACTATTTTTGAATCAAGTGCACATGGCAGGCATGTCGTGAGCGGAGCCGGCTGGAGCTGGGGGTCAGACTAGATAGTCCGGGAGACCCCTTCTGACTCGCTCTGTTTCTACGTTCTATACTGTAATTCCTAAAGCAGAAAGAAACCATGTCCACTGCATTAGTTTGCAAATGATTTCATTGATCAAAGCCGATGTTAAAATATCAATCCGCCCATTTCCTCCCCCAAAACAGACTCCTTGCCTATCTCTATACTGGACACCATGTCTTTTTTGTTAAGGTACAATTAAGTTAATCGGAAACCCTCCCAGTAACACCACTGAAGCTGGACCATGGGGTAGCAAGAGTCCTCTCTTTTGCACAAGTCTTCAGAAAAGCAACGAGCTGAACTAATCAGATGCTGTCCTGAGAAAAGCATATCTAAGGAGGACACCAGAGCCAAAAAAAACCTCTCTTACTAGCCAGAACCCCTGGACAGATTCTGATTGCTCCACCCTGCTGCTACTCTTTGCTTTGAGCAGACTTGCTCAAAGGGGCATGCTCAGGAATGTTGTGCATCTGAGATCCCAACCAGCCATCTCATAGAAACATAACAAGTCAAAAAGGGCCTTCTGGGTCATCAAGTCTGACCCCCCGCTCCAGCCAGCTCCACTCATGTAATCCCCAACATGTGGCTGTCCAATCTTTCCTTGAACACCCTCACTGATGGGGCCTCCACTGCCTCCCATGGGAGCCCATTCCATATCCTGGGAATACTAACCATCAGGAAGTACTTCCTGACACCCAACTTGAAACCCAGTTCCTTGAGCTTTGCTCACATCCTGTCCTCCACAGCAGGGGTGAACAAGTCATGACCCTCTACCATATGACACCCCTTCTTATAAGTTGCTATAAGGTCCCCTCTGAGTCTCTTCTTCTCCAGGCTGAGAAGATCCAGCTCCCTCCATCTCATATGTCTCATCACCACAATCCTGCTACCATCTTTGTGACTTTTTGCTGAACTGGCTCCCACCAAAGCACTTTGTTTTCAGGTGAATGCTGGCAGGCAACAACCTAGCCAGTGAGGAGAAGGAGTGCCACCACCATTCCTTTCCACTGAACAGGTTCAACAATTGCCACACAACAAGCTAAATATACAGCAGGCGGGAGAAAAGCAAGGCAGAGGCATCCCATGGAAAGTAACTTGCCTGTGGCCCTCAAGGAGGGATGTACAGTGTATAGCGACTTGGTTAAAGCTGTTGCACCAGGATTTTGTGAACGGTCAGCTGCCTTTTGTTCTGTCATCTGCTCACTGATGGAACAGGATTCTGTGCAAAATTTGCACTTCTGAAAATGCACAGATCCCCTGAGCTGCACATTTGCACACTGAAGACTATGGGAGAAATGCACATATTTGGTGATGTTTAAAAAAAAACCATATTTTTCTCCAACTAACTCTGTGTAAAATTATGGAAAGTTGAAAACAAAACATCCACAAATCCACAGGATCCATGCAACTCAAGAATCCGTGCACTGGATTCACAGAAATCCAACCCCATCTGAATCCATCGCCCATTTTCCCAGCATCTCTTCCTCATCTCTGGCAAGTAACGTCTGAGCCCCTGTGTGAGGAACTGGACCCATAGAAGCCCTGTTTGTATGGTGCCTCCTGCTCAAACCACAGGGAGAGACCAAGGGAACTTTCTCTTGTTTGATCATTCACATGTTTGGGTCAGTAGGCATGGCAGGGGGTTAATATTTCTGTGGGGAAGAGGGATCTTGTGTTGTACCTCTGATTTTAAAAAATTATTTTATTTATATTATTTTTAATATTTATGTATGTATGTATTGATTTATTGATAAATCAATCAATTTATTGATTTATTGTCAAGCCTAGGCACTCTTTATCTTTTATCTTTCTCCCAAGCGCCAGGTCATAGCGAAAACCCATGAATATCCTAGCCTGATGGTATGGTGCTTCTGTTTTTCCCCCCAGGTCCAGCAGGGGAAGAGGTAATTGGCAAGCAAGGCTCAAAGGGGGCTCCTGGAAGCACGGGCCCCCCTGGGGTTCCTGGGGCTAGAGGCCATTCTGGAGACCCTGGTCCTGCAGGTGGCTGCATCCTTTCAGGATGCTATGAAGAAAGTACCAGAGGTAAGTCATGTCCCCAGGTCTGGAGGGTCAGCATCTCCTTAAAGGGGCCTCTGAGCCCAACAAAAATGGGTCACCCCACTGCAAAGAGGTCTCTTGTGAACCTCTAGTGCATCTGCTGGACCCAAAGACTTGGCCCTCCCATCAGCTTCAGCCTCTGACAATGGCTTCCCAAAGATTCTGTGTTGGGAGCTTCGGCTGCAGAGATGAGCTTGGGGCCTTTAAGTCTGCACTGAGTTTGCAATGATGCTTCTGAGAGGCCAGCACGGGTTGGCCAACCTCAGTTGGTAGCTCCTCGCTAGAACAACTGCTTTTTCCATGAGGATCTACTTTGGGGTAGCAGATCCTGCAAAAATCTCCCCAAGGTGCTATTGCTCCTGGCCCGGCTTCACTCCAGTCACTCTGCATAACCACAGGCCAAAGTGTCACTAGCCTTGCCCAGATGAGAAGTCTACTCCAGTACCAGTTGACCAGGTGCTTTAACCAGGTAACCCTAGCCAGGGCACCTTACCTCATTCCAGTACAGGTAGTGGGAGAGATCCAGAGAGCCATGAACAGTGCCACTTGGGGCACAGGAAGGCCACCTTTCCTCCTCTTTCCTGCTACATCCTCCTTGGCCTCCCCTTGGCAAGGGACTCTCCAAAAGCCTAGAATAGAGAAACGAACACGACAGGCAGCGGCGGTGGCTGCCTCTAATATTAGCAGGACAGAATTTCCACTCTGACTCGGAGTCCGAGTTTTAAAGGAGCTATCCAGGGTGCTGAAGCGCTTTAGGAGTGGTGCCGAAGCTCTTCAGCACCACAGACAGCTCCTCATGAGCACAGACGGGAAGCCAGCATGGCTCCAATCCCTCACCGATGTTGGCGCCACAAGCCTCCGCTGGAAATAAGAGAACTTGCATGAATGGAAGTGCCTCTCCTGCTGGCATGAGGGCCTTCCCCAAAGTTTAGCAGTGGAAAGTGGGGTGCAATCTAGAGCGATCACCTGGCTTTCACAATAGCACTAGCAGTGCCCTCTCCAGGTTTTGAAGGTCCCCTGGGCAAGGTCAATGAGCCCTCTTGCTCAATGTCTCCACCTTCTCACTGCCATGGTCACTAGCTGTGTCTGCCTCTCATCCTCTTTCTCATCGTATGCTTGCTGGGCAGGGAGAAGTTGGCAGAGGCCTCTCCTGCCCCTTCTTTTCACCAGCCATGCTGTCTGGGCCAGAGCAAGAGACAGTGAACAAGTGACTGCCATGCTGAGGAGGAGGAGGAGGAGGGGAGGAGGAGCAGCAGCAGCAAGTCCAGGGGACCCTCATCAGTGGGTCCCAGCTGGGTTGTGTTCCTTCAATAGTTGCCTGTTTAGGCCTACCATACACACCAGCCCTGGATACAAGCAGCCAGAAAACACTGCCAGCAGCAGCAGGAGATCTGCTCAGATCTAGCTTACATCTTCTCCCATGGACAGGTGCTCTCACCTCACCATACGAGGCTGAGCAAGCACAAATAGGAGACACAGAGCTGGGATTATCCTGAAAGATTTGTTTCTCCAAGCGACAGGCAGGAAAATCTCTACTGTTGTCTGATCACCTTGATGTCTCTGGGCATAAGTTTACAGGGCTAAACTCTGAGCTTGCTTCAGAAACCCGGAATATTCTTTTTGGATGTATTTACGCATTTATGAGTCAGCTTTCAGCTTACATTGTAACTTACTCTTTGAAACCTTTAAAAATAAACTGGGAACTTCAAAGCATCACTAACAGCAGAATTAAGAGAAGGAGGGAATCTTCTTTGAGCTAAGGTGCAGTCCTATGCATGTTTGGGGAGATAAAAGCTGTACCCTGAGAGTTCTAGGCCTTTCCTGGTGTAAACATGCATTTGGCACCCTTAAATTACCAGAAAGCACCCTGGGACCATGAGCATGCCAAACCTGGACATAGAAGGGTCTAAGCGAAGTTCCTTTGGGAGGGAGTTCCACAGGAACTGCCGGAGAAAATGCCCTCTCCTCCCAGACCACCCCCACCTAGCCTCTCTTGCAGAACAGCACCTGAGCAATTTCCTCACCCTGCCACTGCCCCACCTGATTTACCTCTGTCACTGCTGGTGGACTAATTGGAAGGGCTGTAAGAAGCACATGAATAATCACTGTTATTCTAGACAGGCATGGCTCCACTGTTAGTTTCTGGAAGCATTCATCACCTTTAAGGAGCCAGCTGAACTACATATAGCCCTTGCAGAGGGAGGCATTGGTACCCTCCCCCCTGCAAAAAAAAATGGTTTAGCTCTCTGCCTTTTTCTGTTTATTCTGTCATTAAAGCACCATAACCTGATTTTGTCTCTAGATGCAGGGCTGATCCCCTAATGATGGATGTCCAGGTTGCTGCAGACCCCGACCCAACATCCTGACTATAAACTCCTATATACACAAAGACCTGCTGTGACAAGAAGTTGCATCTCTTCCAACAGCATCATTTTTCATTTTCTGCCTGTTGGCTACCATGGTGTAGAATTGCTGGATTGCCAGCTGCTAGTGCTCAAACCGACTTGGATGTCCATCTCCGTGCCTTGTTATTCTTCAGAAGTACTTCATCTGGGGCAACCAGTTTGTCAAATAGGTGGTTTAAACAATACCTTTAGGAGATTGGACTGGTAGTATTGCAATAGTCACTTGGTGGAGTCCAGACTTATTAAAGGCAGTGGGACTTGACTTCAGTGTACTGTGGATGCTGCTCTTTGAATTAAAAGGGATAGATCAACTTTGGTGGATTTCCATCGAGATGGACAAAAGTGGCTTACCCAGTTGGTGGGAGCTGTATTCTCCACCAACACTGAGTAGTTCAATACATTCTAAACAAGTGCTGAATAGGTCAGGGGTTCCATCCCAGCGTTTTAGGGCCAGAAGGCAAATGTCAAGCGTTGAGCCTACATTTTGCAGAAACCATAGTGATGGGGGCTTAGATCCAAGTTGCAAGGCCAAGAAAACGGAGCACCAGGCAGAACTGGGGTGCAAACCTGAAATGCCAAAGCACTCCCCCAACCCCAAACCCAAAAGAACACTAATATCGCAACAGGCAAACTGGTGTTGCTCAGAGAAGCATGCACAATGAAACCCACAACACATCAAAACGAAAGAAAAACTCAAATCAATACAAAGCACACACTCAGATGAAGAGAGAGAATCCAGACAAAGCAGAACCCCCTTGCTGTCCACATTCAAGGAGACCTCAGGCCCAGCTTCCTTTTCATTCCTGGGCCTGCATGCAGGAATGAGGTTCTGGGCTGCAGCTCCCCTAAAGTTAATTTTGAAAGAATGTCTTGGAGGCCCCCGAAGTATCGAAAGGGTATTCTTGGAAACCAAGAGAATGCTGGAGAACATTGACTTGCAGCATGCCGGCCTTCTAGGTTTGTCTGCTTGTTTGTTTTCATTAATGCAATTATTTGAACTCTAACAAAACCCTCACAAGGCAGCGAGTCCAGTGAACACCAAGGGAGTGGCCAAAGGAGGCATTGGTGGTCATGGGCACCGCACTGGGGACCCCAGGAAATGACTCTCACAAGGGAGGCAGGTACCTTTTGCACAGCAACATGAGTGCCCTCAAAGGGTAAATCAGTGTTGATCTCCCAGTGCATACTGGTTCTCAAGTGACACCCTACATCTGTGAGGAGACCAGAAAGAATACAGTCCCTTACAAGATTTCTTGGGAAAGAGCCTTTAAGCAAAATGCACTGATCTTCATGGGAAACAGTTTTTTAAAACTTCCGGAATTGTGTACCAGCTAAACAAAAAACAAAAAAGCTCTGACCCTTTATTCATGCAATCTGGTCTTTCATAAGCCGATAAAGCAAAAGCAATTCTGGGCTAGTGCTAAGAGTATCGACACATGCCCTGACTCGTACAAGTTGGCTGAGGAAAATAACTACTCCAGAACACTGGGAAAGGTGCTGAGCTCTCCATGCTAATAGCTCTGCTGATCTGGTGCTGATGCTGATGGTGGATTCTGGCCTCTTAGGCCACTTAGGCTGTGTGGCTCGCTTATCAGAGGCTTAAAGCTGAGGCTATGTGCTCTTTAGGGCAGGGTGGGAAACCACCAGCAGACTTATAAATTCTGGAAGGGGGAAGCCTGAAGGTTCTTTGTGTCGGGAGTGAGGTTCCCTCCTTCATACTGTCCAGCAACAGATGGTTCTTTGGCTTACCTCCAGTAAGCCAGTCACCACAGACTGAGTCTCTGAGCATGCACAGAGCAGTTTGGTGAGCCCAATCTAGCCACTGCTTCCAAGAAGCCTCCTTTTGAGTCACCCTGGACCCCATCCTTTGGCGGTGCCCCCCTGGAGATGGGCAAGCGCTTCTCTCCTGATGCTGCATCATGGGATCAGGAGTCATACCAACCATGGCTGGCTCCCGGTCCTCCTCCTCTCCCATGCCCCCTCCCAGCAGTTGTGGGTCTTGGCTATTCCCAGAGTCCACCTGAACACGTGGCGAGTGGAGCCTTGAGAGAAGCTGCTCCATTTCTTCCATTTCAGCATCTGAGACCCTCTTTCCTAGGGCCCATCAGCCCCATCTGAAGAGTCTAACTCTTCCTGACCTTGAAATTCATGCCAAGTACAACGGCTTCTTTTATTCTGAACAATCTGGGTCATCGCCTCACAGTGCAGAAGCAAAATATATGTTTTAGTATTTTGACATGTTGTTCAGCCTCCTAGGGAAAATCATCTCTTCCAAGGAAAGTTGGGGAGGGAGCAAACCTGGCAGGAGGATTGTAGGAAGCTGCCCTGTGGGAAGTCCCTTCCTTGGTCCATCCTATCCAGGACTGTTGACTCTGCCTGGCAATAACATCTCTCCAGGGTTTCTAGCAGGAGTTTTTCCAGCCCTGCCTGGAGTTGCTGGGGTAGAAACCTGGAACCTTTAGCATGCAAAGCACAGAGCTGCAGCTTCTTTCCAAGGATCTCTTTTCACTGCATTAGTCTGGGAACTGACTGGGATATTTTCAAAAAGATTGAAAACCTGGATCAGCTTTGCTTATCCTTTCTGCTCCTCATCTGTATGCGGCACCACTTCCGAAGGGAGAGCTTGCCAAGCGCCAATATCCAGAGGCTTAAGAGAAGAGCATTTTTGACAGTGAAATCCTTGCCACCCCGCAGCAGGGGTGGGCAACCTATGGCCCCACAGATAGAAAGGCTCCCCACAGCAGGGAAGACTGGGACCAGCTGAATGGTGCACCACTTCAGTCTGCTGTCTGGGGGCTTCATGTGGATAGACAACTTCAAGCTTTCCCCTTCTTAGAGGTCTTTATCTTTCAGTTAGACTTGGACTGAACAACCCTTCAAATGGAAGACATCTCCAAATGACCTTTTATATCACTTCCTAGTGGAATATATAGAAGCATAGGATAGTAGAGTTGGAAGGGGCCATGAAGGCCATCAGGTCCAACCCCCTGCTGGTGCAGGACACCAAGTCACACCATGCCACTCAGGTGGCTGCCCAGTTTCCCCTTGGACACTAGAGACATTCAGGGGGAAACTGGGCAGCCTCTGAGTGGGATGGTGTGACTTGGTGTCCTGCACCAGCAGGGGGTTGGACCCGATGGCCTTCATGGCTCCTTCCAACTCGTCTATTCTATGCTTCTGTGATCTAAATCATTAATACAGATGTTGAAGAGCACTCGCCCCAGGACTGCACCCTGTGGCCCCCACTAGTTACCTCCATCCAATTTGAGAAGGTGACAAGTTGGACACACTTTGTGTCCAATTTAGCAGCCGATCTTGGATCCACCTAATAGTTTTTCCATCTAGTCCAGATTTTGCTAATTTGTTTACCAGAAAGGCACGTGGCAATATGTGGAAAGCTTTGCTAAAGTCTAGGTAGATTATGTCCACAGTGTTCCCTTTGTCCATTTGGGGGGTTACCCAGTCAAAAAATGAGATTAACTTAGTCTGAGAGGGTTTTTGATAAATTCATGCTGGCTTCTATTAATCACTGCATTTTCTTCAAGATGCTTGCAGATGGATTTTTAAATAATTTGCTCCAGAAGTTTTCCAGGGATTGATGTCAGATTAACTGGTCTATAGTTCACAGGTTCATCTTGTCCCCCTTTTTGAAGATAAGGACAGCATTAGCCCTTCTCCTGTCTTCTGGCACTTCTGTTTTCCAAGATTTATCAAAGATAATAGCCAGTGGTTCTGAGAGTTCCTCTGCTAGCTCTTTTCTGACTCTGGGATGGAGTTCATTGGGCCCTGGAGATTTGAAAGTGTTCATTCCAACGAGGTATTCCTTGAACATTTGTCTGTCAATCAATGGAGTTGTAAATTCCAAGTGTTGCTGCTGATGTGTCATCAAGGCATCCCCAACTTATGAATGAAAGGCCTCCCAAAGGTCCTATCCATGTCAGCCCTGCTCAGCTCTTGTAAACTCCAGATGTGGATTCCCTTATGGAACTGATCCATCTCCTTCCCTTCCTCATCAGCCTTTGACGTTCACTATTGCGACGGTCTTTTCCAAGACGTCTTGCCTTCTTGCCAAGACGTCTTGCCCACTCGTTCATCTTTCATTATTGGTGAAGTTTACCTTGGGTGTCTTTGCTTGAGCGGTCCACTGTGACGTACTGGGGGGCCAGTGGAAGGATTCCGTACCTCTTTTTTATCTATGTATCTGCAGCCACTAATCATTCAGGTGTTTTTCTGACCACCTGCTGATTTTATGTTGCTCTGGTTTGAATTAGCCAGTCATGGAGCTCCCTGTCCTTCCCATCTCACTGATTTTGGCCACCCATAACCAGCAGGATATTCATGGCTGTGCACATTTGCCTTTCATGAGAAAACTTGCAATCCAATCTTGACTCAAGTTGCAACAGTCACCAAAATGCATGTCAGAGAAGTTTGGCATCGCTGGGTTTGTTGATTTGCAGCTCCTTAGTGAATTCCATAAACAGACAATGAGTTAAAGGGGAAAATACATTCCTGCAGCATGTTCTGGATCTCCCCCCTCTTGGCTTCCTGACTGAATCCCTCTACCTGGACCAGCCTGCCTGTGTCCTTGGAGCTCTATGGGAGGTCCATCTCATTGCCCCACCATGGAGAAAGAATGTGGGGTGGGGTGGTGACACTTTCAATTACACAGCAGGGGGTTGGGACTTGGCCACCAGCGCATTAAAGGGAGGTTTCTTTGTTTGTTTTGTGTTGCCTTCCTTTGCAATAAAAATATCGACTGTATTCAAGAACAGGCTTCAAACTTTGCTGAGGCCTTCCCTCACCCTTCCATCTTCACTAGAAACATAGAATCAGAGTGAGTTAGAAGGGTTCTCCCTGGCCATCTAGTCTGACCCCTGGCTCCAGCCGGCTCTGCTCACGACATGCACACCATGTGCATGTCCTGCCTGTCCTTGAACACCCTCACCGATGGGGCCTCAACCTCCTCCCGTGGAAGCCCATTCCACACCCTCGGGGTCCTGACTGTGCGGA